AATGTAATTGTCAAATGGTTCTGAAACGTAACTTTACGACGTTTTTAAAATGAATTTAGAGTAGATACAAAATATATGATATGACGTCAGTGTTCCCTCTATGCCTGAGTTCAACATGTATGCACATTTACAAGCAATAATTTCACAATAAATTATATACATCTCATGAACAAATGATGAGAAAGGATGATGAAATACATTTGCAAATGTTTGTCCTCTCAATGTTTTTTAAATACTAATAATTTCTTATGGTAAAACACAAATATATAACAAATGTACAAAAAAAGGTGTAATAATGTTTAATCTCCTGGGCAAAAAATTTTGTTTTTTTTTTGTTATTCTTAATATATTTTTTATGTACATGCTCTCCACATTTACACGATTATCATCTTTACAGTATATACCTCTAGCTAAAATAAGATCATTAAAGGGGACCTATTATGCAAAAATCACTTTTTTTGAACACAGTTGATAAACTCAATCTGTGAACATGTATGAAGGATAAAACCTGCCATGAGAAACACTGCGCTAATTTTAGTTTGGGTTGAACACGAGCAGAGGTGAGTGGCTGTAGCGGTGAAAAACGAAAGTACTCGCCCCATTTTGTCAGTAGTGATTCCAGGTCCAGTGCTGACGTCATGGGGGCGGGTACTTTCACTTTTCACTGCTACACCCCCTCACTTCCGCTCGTGTTCAAACCAAACTAAAACGGCACGGTATTTCTTATGGCAGGTTTTATCCTTCATCCATGTTGAGAGATCGAGTTGATAAGGGAATATGTCTTGACATAACCCACACACAGACATAAATTAGTAAAGTGTGAAGTCATGTATGATTGTAATCGTTGCATTAGTCTGAATGTAAATGCTCTCATCAGGAAGAGCTGGAGCAGCGCGAGAGAGTGGACCACAGCGCATCAAAAGAAAGGTATTAACAAAAGAAAAATAGTCAACTGAAGACACTTAAATGCCTGCCTTTGTTGTATTTGCACCAGCTCTGTGATGCTCGTCCACAACTTCACGGATTAGGTCAATTTAGGTTGTCCAATGTCTGTGTTCAGTCCGTTACAATCACAGACAGGCAGTCAGGGAGCGTAATACAGCAAGTGGAGCTAAGCGCATCAAATGATCGATAATTAAAAGGAGAAAAAAAGAAAAATAGAATAAATATCTATACTTTTATATTAGACACACATCTAATGCTTGTATTTGCAGAAGCTCCACGTTCACAACTTCAAGCATTGGGATAAATTAGGCTTTACAGTTTCTTTTTCAGTCTCTTTACTTTCATTGTATCGGTTCTGCTAAGCGAACGGAACCAACCCTGTGACGTCAGACACAGCGACATTTCAAGGTGGCAGCACCCTAGGTCTAAAATCTATGGTAAAACACGCTGTTTTCTTCTAAATGGTTGCATTAATCGAGTTTGTTTATTATATTTTCATTAAAGTGGAATCCAATGTGCAAAATAAGGTAAACTTGACTGAGTGCTTCATTTCCCCTTTAAAGATCCAAACCCCTCACTGCACGACAGCTGCACCTTCAGCAAACCTAATTCCAGCAGATTGTTTAAAAGCGTCAAAAGTTGCTGATCTGTTCGGCAAAATATTTGACTGCGTCACTGCATCCCAAATGACTTAACAATATAACTAAAGAAATTTCCACTGTGCTGAGGGAAACCGCTTACTGAACAGCGCATCATCGATGACGCAAGCGTGCCCAGGCCCGAATGTAATGCGAGTGTGGGCTGTCAGGGGAGACGGGAGGTGGGACAAGCATGCTTGTGCCTGCTTCAAGGCAACTGTACATAGTGTGAGTACGCCCTTATTGCACCATCAGTCAAAAGTTTGGGGTCAGTAGGATTTTCAAAGGTTTTAAAATAAGCTTCTCCTGCTCATCAAAGCTGCATTTATTTAATCAAAAATACAGTACAAATAGTAAAATTGTGAAATGTTATTGCACTATAAAATTACTGTTCAAAAGTTTATAATTTAATTGAATCATTTATTCCTCTGATTTTAAAGATGAATTTTCAGCTTCGTTACTCCAGTCTTCAGAGTCACATGATCCTTTAGAAATCACTATAATATTATTATTATACAGGATGATGTAAAAAGAATACCACAACTTTGACAATCTGTATTTAATTGGAAAAAAAAACATGACAACAGCGTTTCTTGCAACCAAATGAGCAATTAAATGAAACTTCAGAGCGTCCTTAAATCAACAACAGAAAGAGCTTAGCTCTCCTTTTCTTTTTTGCAGAGTTCTCAATTTTCAAAGTTGTGTCATTCTTTTTGAATCACCCTGTTTTATTATTATTAATGGTAATAGTAATAAAAGCAATAATGACTGGAGTAATAATTTCATTTGAAACAACAAACAATAAGCAGTTATTTAAAATTTTGATACATATTTAACATTAACACTTTTATAAATGCCGCAATGATGAACAGAATTACTTTCTTTAAAAACAAGAAAAAGAATAAAAAACTGACTCCAACCCCCTGGTTGTAAGAGCAACAAATAATACATTGACTTCTAGTTGATAATTTAGAAAAGTGTCAGAAGCTAGATGTTTCCGATAAATCATCTGTTGAACTGCATCCCAATCATCACAAATACTGCAGAAGACCTATAGAAACCCGCATGGACCCAAGATTTTCACAGAAATCAGTCAAGTTTGGAGAAGTAAAAATTGTGATTTAGGGTTACATTTAGTATGGGGGTGTGCGAGAGATCTGCAGAGTGGATGTCAACATCAGCAGCCTGATGTATCAATACATTTGTGCTGCCCATTACATTACAAACCACAGGAGAGGGCAAATTCTTCAGCAGGAAGCTGCACCTCCTCAACAAAAATAGGTCAAGGTGCTGCAGGAGTGGCCAGCCCAAACACCAGATATGAACAATATTGAGCATGTCTGGGGTAAGATGAAGGAGGAGGCATTGAAGTTAAATCAAAAGAATCTTGATAAAGTTTGGGAGTCCTGCGAGAATGCTTTCTTTGCCAATCCAGAGACTTTATCTACAAGTTATTTGAGTCATTGCAGAGATGTATGAATGCAGTCCTCCAAGCTCATAGGACTCATACACAATATTGATTCTTTTTTCACTGCACCAAGACTTTATATTCTACACATTATGTACATTATTTCTGTTAAGGGACAAGACTTTTGTCTTAACATATTTGATCAGATTTGTCGGATCATATATTATTTTGGTATGATACGTAATCTAAAGGCCTTTGCCTTTCATATAAGCCCCTTCTGATACCAAATGATCAACTAGAAGTCAAGGTATTATTTGTTGTTCTTAAAACTTGGATAAGCGACAAGACTTTTGTCAGGTAGGGTGTTTCACCTGCAACAACAAAGTGAACTTTACTAAAGACAAAAGTTTTTGGCCATTAACATCTGTTTGTACAATTACGCAAACACCTATGGAGATTTCTCAGCATGACAGACTCACGGATGGCAGATTAACCTGCTGCTGCTTCTTCAATGTGCTAGCAAATTTAAGATGAAAGAAATGTGGATGATGTGACGAGATGATTGACAAGCCACGTAGATAACAACATTACCATACGTTAATGAAGAAGTAGTATGTTTTAGCCTGCACACTCTTCTGTTACACACTCAAAATGAAGTACTTTTTCTTTTAGGATGTCCTATAAAAACAGCAATTGGGATTCAGTATATGATTAGAACAAATGTATGCAAATTAAGATAGTAAAATAATAATAACTAGATTTGGGAAACTTATCTGGCACTAGTATTACTGTAACCGCTAGCATTTTGGTCCCCTTTTTAAAACACAAAGTTTTACATCTCTGAAGGCGGGTGCACCAGCTGTGGATTAAGTTACAGCTTTGTTTGATGTAAAAAGACTTATTTTTGAATTGCATGAATAAAGTTGTATAGACTGTAACTCTTAATATTCACAAAAGTGGAACAAAAGTTTAAATGAATTGCCTCAAATCTGTTTGACCTGAAAGACTTCATTCCTTTAACCATGTTTGATGCCAACTGTTGACATTTATACTACTCCGGAAGAACATTATGTGAGTTAATTAGCTTTGTATGAAGCACTTCAACATAAACCAGTCCTTAAGAGCGCACCTCTGTGTGCATCAGTCAAATAAAACTTTAAATCTTAACCATTAATGCCATTTCTTATGGGTTTTTTTTTACTTATTTGTCAGCAATTAAACAGAGCTTTTTCATTTTAAATACAGTTTTTGTATGTTGTTTACAGTACATCGGCCTATAATAACTACTGTGTAAATAAATCCTGATTAGGTACTGTCAAATTTCAATGGAAACATTTTTAGCATTAGATACGAGATAAGTTGGAATCAACTTTTGAAGGATACTATTGTATGGTAAATGTCACATTATGACTATGCATTACTTTTAGGGCTTACTCACACTATGCTATCCGAACCGTGCCCAGGCCCGTTTCCCGGATCGTTTGAGAAGTGCGAGTTCGTTGAATCGGGCACTAGCATGGTTCACTTGGCCGGCCCTGGCCTGGTTGGAAGAGGTGGGCCTGAGCACGGTTCACTTGGGCTTTGGTGCGGTACGCTTATGTGTAAGTGCAAAACATGCCAAAGCCCAAAACTGAAAGCAAGATGTGACTTTTAAGGGACTGTTTGATATGGATTTATTAATCATTCTTACTGTTTAATGAACGTAAACTGTCATAGATTATTAAAGACGCAAACCCCTCACTGCACGACAGCTGCGTGCGACAGAGAACTTTACAAGCGCCAAAAGTGGCCGATCTGTTTGGCAAAAAATTTGACTGCGTGTCACCGCATCCCAAACGATATAACTACAGAAATCTCCACTGTGCTGAGCGAGAGCGCTTACTGAACAGCGCAGCATCGATGACGTAATCGTGCCCAGGACCGAATGTAATGTGAGTGCGGGCCGTTGGGGGAGACGAAAGGGGGGACAATCGTGCTTTGGCCCTGTTCAAGGCAACTGTACATAGTGTGAGTACAGCCTTAAGAACAAATTGGCCAAACAATTTGTTTTTTACAAACTAGCTTGCAGTTACAAAGCCTCTAGTGTGGATATCCAAATTAAATCCACAGCAGTTACAAACAGCTGGTGCAACCCTAAACAATGTTTTCCTCATAACTGATTTTATGTGTATTTAATGTTTGGGTGTTTTCAGGCATGATGTTGCTTTAGACAAGCGAAACACGGAGTTTAGAACAGACAGAGTAAATAATGCTGCATGGAAGAGGCTTAAAAGGAACACTGAATAATTCACTCTCGTCACATCAACACATCAACATCATCACAATGGTCTTCCTCCTCTGTGACTTTGAGTGAAAGCACCTCCTCGTTCATGAAGAGGCCGCTCAATCTCTCCTTGCGAGCCTGTCTCTGCTCCTTCAGCTGTCGCTTGCGTAAAGCCTTCTGCTGCATTTTCCTCTGCTTGGAGCGTTTCTGTAAAAAAATAGGATGATCATATGATTAAGTTCTTATTTTTTAGAGAATAGAAATCAATTAATGTCAGGATGCACAGTTCGAATGGGCATCAATAGTCAATCTTTGGCTAGTACTAATTTTGAAGAGAAAATGGAATTCCCCTGCCCCGCCCACAAACACTGTAGAAAGAAAAAGACACTGTAGCAAATCCAGGTTGAATCATGTCGCGAAGACGCTGTGCTCTGAAGTGTGAGGTAGAGGTCTGCATTCCCGCAGCTGTCCCGATTTCTGCGCGCGGGAATAAATTTCCGAATATAGCGCGGGAGCGATCGGTAACGGGTTTAATTTGGGACAGAAGCGGGCTGTCTAGCAATATCGCGCCCAACTCCCGAGCGGCACGCATATGTATGTGTGTAAATGAAATGGTGCGATGCTGTGTTTAGCTTGTTTGTTGCTGTGTGTATGTGTGTGTGCGCACTCGCGAATGAGAGATGTGTGTGTGTGTATGTGTTAGTGCGCGCGTGAGAGAGAGCTTTGCCTGTGTGTGTGCTTGGTGCTTATGTGTGTGTGTGTGTGTGTGTGTGTTAGTGCGCGTGAATGAGAGAGAGAGAGAGCTTTGTCTGTGTGTGTGTGCTTGGTGCTATGCGTGTGTGTGCGTTTATACAGACAGCTTGTTATAGGCTGTCTGGACTCTGTATAGCTGGGTGGTTTTCGGTTTTGTTCTCCCCCCGCTCTTTCCAGCGGGATCTAGCGGGATCGGGCGCGGCGGGTAGAAAACGGGGTGGGTCGGGCAGCAGGACAACAAATGCTTAATATAAGTGGGTACGGGCGGGTGCGGGCGGGAGCGGGATTCAAAATTTAGTCCCGCGCAGATCTTATTATCAGTCATTTTCTTTTCCCAAAGATGAGGTTGTGAAGAATCAGTGGTTGAAGTTTATTTTTGCAAAAACACCTCAGCATTATAGCCCCAGCCTTGTGCTGTGTTCGTGCCATTTTTCTGATGAGTGCTTCAGCAATCTACACACTTTCAACAGGGCATTCGTCGGCCGTTTTTTTAAAGGAAGAACCAGAAAAGACTATTAATGTATGGGCCAGAGCTTGACAGGAACATTACAGTACACAGTTCATGGATCAGTTTCTTCCTCCAGTTCACAAGTGTAACTAAGTGCGATTAAAATGGTTGCCTCTTTGTTTTCTCTAGCTTTCAAATTGTGTATTTAATCGCATTTTGCTACTTGTGACTACTTGTACTGTATCAGGTCAACTTTTTATTTTCATATTGAGTCTCAAGCCACGTTGAAAACATGATGCGTGCCACTTTGTTTACGGATTTAAATGCATTTGTGAGCTCACGATCCACTTAGTATCACACTAAGAAAGGGTTTGGGAACAAATAAATGAGTCGTTTGGATTAGGAAAATATAAATACATATTATACGACAATGAAAGTGTTTTTTGATCCTACCACTTTTGAAAATCTTCACCCTGACAAGAGTTTTTAAAAATTTGGCTTTCAGTGACCTGATACTGTGTTTGTGTGCAGAAAAAAGCTGCAATACCCGTGTGTGGACAGCAGGGCCTACGGTTGACTGAATTTGGTCGTAGTTTTGTGTTTTTTTCCATTAACAGCAGTAGTTCAATGTTCTCTGTTCACTCAGCAATCTGTTTGAGAGTTATTTTAACACTTAGTAAGATCAGTGAGAGATGCTAATTTTACTCAGAGGATTTTGTGGTGTATCAATTTGGGTTCCAAAAAAGTCTACTTCAAATAAAGATATCAGTTAAATGGTTAGGTTATGTTTAGATGGGGTATTATGAAAGCAAAAATGAACAGTTAACAAAATATACAAAAAAACTATAGATCACTTGATAGAATTGTTTTATTTGGATGAATGTAAAGACCGCCATGAATATGTTGATATACGTTATATATATTATATATAACGTTTGTTGCGGTTGTGTGCTTGTTGCGATTATTAAGTTGTAGGTGGAGTTTTTCCACATGGCTCGTCCAGGATTGGATGACTACCATGACGTCACTGGGGATTCCCAGTATATAAGGCTGACGGCAATGGCAGTCTGGCTGGTGGTGCTCCGCATGCCAGGATCCATGTACATGCCACAGTGTTTTGTTCCTGTTAACTCTTTGATTCTTTAGTTTTCTAAATGTGATCTAGTTTGTTTATTTTGATACTTTGTTTGTTTTTCGTAGCAGGTAGTGGATTATTTTTCATAGTCACGTTTTGGTATTTATTTAGTTTAGTGAGGAGTGGCCCGGAAGAGTCACCTGTTTTTATTCCTTTAACGGGAGTTGTAGGTAAGATCTGTCCAATTAAAACAGTTATAGTCATGGACCTGTTTTTCTGAGCGGCCCTACCTGTCTACATGATTTTTGTTAAGGTTTTGTTGTCTCTTTTGTGGAAACATTTGATTTATGGAAATTAAAGAGTATCGACGGGACGTCAATTTCTTAATTCAAGCATCTGTGTTCAAATGTTCGGCTCAAACCTTGATGTTGTTATTCAAGCCAGTTTTGGGCCGTAACAATATGCTTTTGTGAATAAAAAGTAATTTTTAATATTGTAAAAAATTGTCTTTATTTGGGATGGTTTGCATCTATTTTGTATCCTGAAATCACTTGCTATATTTGTAGTTTATATATAAAATCAATGCTTAGCTTAGTTCACTGTGATCATTATGCAAGGATCGTTATGCATTGCATCCGCTTGTTAAGTGGTGACGTGTTTGTGACGCATGTAATACTGTTTCCGGGTCCAAGCCGCCATTCAGTTGAGTGGAGAAATCATTCGTTTATGATCACGTTTTATTCCTATCACACATTAAAGTTAACTTTATATAAAATCATAGTGTACACAACAATCTCTGGGCTTGCTGCATAACAAATACCAAAAATGTAACAATTTATAAAAAAATTAATCACTTTCTGGCCATCGGATATTAGGCATGGACATATATATTGCGATAGTGATTTTCGAAAGCCTTAAATTGCTTTGTAAACGTTTATTATTACCATTTCATGAGTCTCCCCATTCAGTTGAATAGAGCGCTTGGACCCGGAAGCCGCTTCGCGTGACGTCACACTTAACAAGGGGATAGGATACAGCTTATTCTTAAGTAGGCTATATTCTTTGATTCATAAATTATGTATTTTATAAATGGATTGTTTATAAGCACTAGTCTAAAAAAAAGGAGTGGGTGGTTTGTTAGCTGTAAATATTAAATCATTTAAAACCCTATCTATTGTGTTTATAATGGAGTGATGATTGACGTTTAATTGCTTGTTCGTTTAAATGATGATCGATTACAGGATTTTGTGGAAATTTACATCCCTAATGTTAAGACAGCTCAATAGAAGTCATGCTGCCTCTGTAGTCTCGTGTTATTTTTCTTGATGTCATAAAAGAAAAACAGCCTAAAGTACCTTTGAGTCTCGTATTCGCTCTGCGGCAGTGGCCAGGTTTCCATCGCTGTGTGCACGGCTAATATTTGTGGAGGAATTGGAGCCTGTGGAAGCAGTGCTACTGCTGGTACTGCTGACCATGCTGGCATTACTGCTGCTGTGGGCACTCACACCACTGGTGCTGCCATTGCTCGCCATGCTCCTCTTCCAGTTATCCCGTGTTATGTTTGGACGCTGCCGTGGACTGTGCTCACGGATGTAGCTCCTCACCTAAAAGATCAAAATTTTTAAAATGTTTTAAGATTACTACATCACTGCAAGAAATGCTTTTTCTACTTACGATTTTTTTTTTTTGTCTCGTTTCTACTCCAGATACACACAAATTCTTAAATCAAGACGCATTTATTAGACAAGCAAAACATATTGTCTCGTTTTAAGAAATAATATGTCAAAATTACATCTGTTTTTCCTCAAAACAAGCAAAATATCATGTCAACAGAGTAAGCAAAATAATCTTATGTCTATTGTTAGGTAAGTTATTTTTAAAAGTAATAGATTTACGCATGGGACGATAACCGTTTTTAAGGTATACCACGGTTTGGAAAAGTCAAGATTTAAAACCGTCAAAATTTTCTGCAATAAAGCCCGTAAGGTAGGTAAAAGATTTTTTTTATTGAGTTTTTTTTGTTTGTTTGTTTTTTTTTTTTTTTTTAGGACAACAGTATCTCCAGCAGTAAAGATGTTGTTTTAAATTGTAAAAAAAAAAATCAAATGAAGCAAATCTGTCTTCATTTCAAACAAATGAAGACAGCAAAAGTCAATAATTAATTTAGCCTGACATGTTTACGGCTCCAAAATATTTAAAATGTTTATCAAAATAAAATATACTGAGGTGAAAAGGGAAAAAAGGTTTTTGTTTTTTTACCCAGACATTTAAAAAGAATATATTTTAGAGCAGTAATTGTAATACTGTGAAACCGTGATATTTTTATCCAAGGTTATCATACCGTCAGATTGCAAGTTACTGACTCTTACTGGAAAATTGTAATCTGATTACATTACTAATTACTTTAAAATAAAGCAGTTGGTAATCTGATTACTTTCTACATGAAGCTACTTTGAAAACATAAAAATATACCTATAAAAATACTAAATAAACTGCAGCTCTTTCAGTAACTTAATTTAGTGTCACTGAAAAGCAATACAATGGGTTGATCACAACAGCTTGACATATTCGAAAGACTTAAAGAGTTCACCTAAAACTTAAAATTCAGTTGTGCCGTCTTTTTTTTTACACAACAGAAGACATGGAGAAAACTGGATACCTGCAACCATGTATGCAAAAGCACTGCAGTGTTTGGGTGTTCCGTGTTTGTCTGAGGTAATTAGTCTTACGAAATGAGTATATTCCATACAAAGCATAAAGCGGATCGGTCAGTAACTGCTTAAGGCTGATTTATACTTCTGCGTCAAGCACACGCGTATGCTACGGGGCAGCCTACGCATTGACGCATAGCCCTATGCCTTGGCCGTCGCTGACGCGCACCTCTCAAAAAATTTAACTACACATTGTAATGAAGTGTACTGCAAGCTCTGTGATTGGCCAGCTTGGTAGTGCTGACGAGTCAGGGCGGGACGAGAGCCGCGCGAGCCCGATGGAGCATTTGTTTAAATGTGTGGAGTCCTGTGACGGAGCTCCGGATGGAAAGTTTTGTTTTGTGTTTACCTCATGGTTAAAGTTACTGCACGTCCGCCAGTTCCTTCCTCAAAATGAGCATGTTTGAGCCACTTGTACATTAAGGAAGCATTCAGAAAAAACAAAACACCAGCGAAGAAACTCGACACAGAGGAACATTAACACCTCAACTAGTGTTTCGGAAGTGTTATTGCAGAACAACAGAAACAGCGCGCAGAAGTATAAATGCACAGCTAGGCGCGTTGCATGGGCCGTGGGTCACGCCGATCACTTGACACAGAAGTATAAACCAGGCTTAACACTTTAGTATCTGTAATCAAATTACCCAAATTTAAAATGTAATACCTTACATTACTGCGATCCTCAAAAATTAAACTTTTTGTTACTGTGGAACGCGTTACACCTAGCTTTGCTTATGTCAAAAGGAAAAACAAGATTAATTTGTTGATTTAATAATTTTAGCATATGGTTTCTTAAGACAATATTTTTTGCTTTCTAGAAAATGCTTCTTGATTTAAACTTTTTTTTTTTTTTTGATGATGATGATGATATTTTTGAATTGGAAAGAAACATGACAATAAAAAAATGTAAGTAAAAAAACATTTTTTTTATGCATTACTATTTAGCATTACTATTACTGATGACCGCTGCTCAAATGAATTGTTCATTTCATGTTTAATTGCGTGATTGATTGAGATAACTGGCAAATATTAAGACTGGAATACACACTACACATCTTTTGCAAAGACATGATGAACAAATTACATAAGAGGAAAAAACAATTACTCTGCACAAGAGCATCACAAATAATCCTTGTTTTCTAAAATATAGATTTATATGCTTTGTGTTAACATTATGAACAAATCACAAGACACAAACACAAACTGAATTGAACATTGAATGGTTTATTAATCACTAGGCCCACAGAGAATCTGCAAGTGCAGAAATTCACAAATTTCCGCAGATTTTTAGGCCATCGAGTTTATTTCTATACTAAAGTAAAAGTGTGTATATATTAATAAAAAAGTCTTTAAAAGACAGAACAAAATAGATTCGATATCCACTATTTAGATTTATTTTTAACACTAAACACACAGGACAACAGCATCTATGGTGTTTGTTTTATTTGAACAAAACCAAAGTCAAATCTGAACAAACAGTCGAATCTGGGAGATTTGCAAATGTTGGATAAGATGCAAACATTAATGGATATAACTCATTAACAGAATGAGATCATTCTGTGAACAAAGGGAAAAAGGCAATGTTGTTCTAAACTGTGGTCATTTAATACCACAAAGTATAAAGTTGGCTCCAAATGGCAAATAATTGGTCCATATGCACGTTGCTAAGCACAACTGTGCATCGTGGGGAGGAATGCCCATAACAATTTACCAGTTATTAAAAGACGTTATTAAAGGACAGAAATGATTATTAAAAATGTATTATTAAATAGCCCCTATTATGGGTTTTTGAGAATGACCTTCCATGTAGTGTGTAACACAGCTCTATGTGATGTGAAATATCCAGCTTAAATCTGAAAGAGGACAGTGTTTTAAACTATTGATTCATTTATAAAAGAGTCGACTCATAGTGCTTCAAATGAATCATCTTGATATCGTTCCTACAGACGTGCGGTGGTCAAGTTTCAAAATAGTTCAGCTTTTGCCACTGTGTGGATTAATACTGAATGTGTGTCATGGTTAATAATATAGCAATATGCTGGTGTTTACGATCACGCCGCCCTCAACCCGAAAGTGGAAAAGTAAGTGACTGGGAGGGAGGGGGTGGGTGTCGCCAATTGAAAGTGAGGCTCCCTCACTATTCATCCGCCTATGGACGCGCCGGCCCGGAAAACATTGGAGAGAACTGGGTACTGTGTACTATGGTGTTAGAAACTATTATGTAGAGTTTTTCGGGTGGCCGCCTGGAAGTTTTCCAGGATAAATAACAAAATAAGTGGGGTTTGGTTGAAATAATGGGAGTTTTGGTTGAAATTACAGGAGCTGAATAGACAGTTTGATTGAAATTACAGGAGTTTTGTAGAATAAATAACAAAATGGGTGGGTGGCTGGAGATAGGTCTGAAATACAGGAGACTCCTGGGTAAAACAGGAGTATTGGCAGGTATGCTCGCACATACACTATGCACTCTGACAACTTCTATATTGTTTATAAGCTGTGCTGGTTATTTCACTCAGTCTCATGCTGAACGCTGTTAGTGTCAACCAATCGCAACAGGCTGTCATCGGTCCGATCAGCGCAGATTAGCTTCGCACTAACGAGGGGTTTGGGAACAAATGAATCACTAAACGAATCACATGGGAGTCGCTGGGATAATTAGGTAAAATAAATGCATTTTATAAGACAATGAAAGTGTTTTGATCTTACATGCATATTAGGATGTTGTTGGAGACCCTAACAACCAACATATGACCCTATTTAATATATAATAGGGGCCCTTTAATATCAGAATACGGTTTGTAAAATTTGGGGGAGAAAAGACACAAAAAAGAACAATTGGTTATCTGTCAAATTTTACAAATACAAAAATGTTTCGCCCTGATGCAGTCTTTTACATCTGAGTGCAACTTGACCGCATGAAGAAATTCTTACAAATGCACAAACACCTCATTCAAACACATCGGACATGGCATCATGCGGGATAGTTTTTTTTTTTTTTGTGAGAACTTAGTAGGCTTAACTGAGTCACATGCCCTAACTAATTTAGAAAAGCATTAGTGTAATTAATGCAATTCATTACCTGTTTGAGCTTTTCATCTGTGAGGCAGTTCAGTTCAATGATGAACTCGCTGTCTGTCGGCAATATCTGTGCACTCGGGTCGATGATTTTGATTATATCAAGTTGTTCCCGAAGCCCCATCTCTGTGCTCACTTTTCGACTCAGATATTCAATATATTCCACCTGAAAAACAATCAACAGATGAGTGATTTCGCAACAGTACAATTCACTTAAAAAATAGAATAATACAAACAAAATACAGAGAAAACCAAGGCTAATTTTAAACCATATCATATTATATTATAATTGTGTAATCAAGTCATATTAAAGCCGTTCACATATTGCATCTAAAAAACTATGAAAAGCAAATGGAAAGCTCGAGGCGCATTGCTTCCTTCACCATCTTCAACCCACTCCAGTGGTGTCTGTCATTGCTAAGCAGCCATCAACCATTTTCTCAGAGGATGAAAAACTGAAAAACCATTGCTGCAATTCTGATATCAGTTTTAATGATGGAGAACATTAAAAAACACTGCAGCACACAAAAGCACTGTTTGGGTGCACTGTGTTTTTCTGAGGTAATTATTCTGCCATTATTACTGAAATGAGTAGATTCTATACAGAGTATTGACCTTATTCTTCGTCGACGAGCGGGCGCTGCCATTTGAATCTTTTTGGCTCGAGACTTCAGGTCTCATTCACTTCCATTCATTTTTAGACATTAAAAACTGCTCATTACGCTGCTTGATGTTGCAATTTGATATTTCCTTGTTATATTATTCTACTTTGTCTGTATAGTCATGCAAACATTTGTTTGTAGAGCAAGTAGTTTGACCGTTTTCTGCCGTTTATTATTCCTAGTCATTTCTCCCATAGGCGACTGAATCGGAAGTTCTAAGACAATCGCGAAAACAGGCGCACTTCCGCATTTTAGAATAAGGTCAATAATGCTGATTGGTTAGTTCTAGTCACATAATTCACGGTGCACTCACTGCATTCTGAAAAGTTGACAAGTTGAACCATTTTCTCAGAGGATGACAGACTGACAAACCATTGCTGCAGCTCTGATACAAGTTTTATTTATGGAGAACTGCAGTATTTAGGTGTTCTGTGTTTGTCTGAGATAATTAGTCTACTGTTATTACTGAAACATGTATATTCCATATAAAGTATAAAGCTGATTGGATAGTTCTAGTCACATGACCTAGGTGCGCTCGCTACATTTTAAAAAAGTTGAGATGTTTTCATGTAGGTGTGCCTGGAAAACACATGCGCATCGCTTTGAATTTGCCTCCATTGGGAATAACTTTTCCCATAACTTTTGCAAGCGCAAAACATGCAATATGTGAACAGCTTCTTAGTCATATTATTCATATTTTTCTAATCAAATCAAGGTATTTTGTTTGAATTATAGAGGTGTCTCATGGTTCAGTATCGATTATCATGCCATCGATTCAGTTCGATATCTCTGTGCATCACGGGTGCATTGACGATGCTTTCCATAAACAATTTTATATTTTTCTTCACAGCACAAGAAAAAGGCATGCATATATTTATATTTATCTATTATTTGTGATACAATTTTGTCCTTTTGTACAAGTAGTCAGATATATGAACTGTACCTTTAAAAAGTCAAGTACAGGCACAGAACAACATGAGCATTCATAGCAAATAAACAAATAGAAATATTCCGCTACCTTACTGAGCCATGTCAAGCGAGCTCTTACACCCCTATGGTTGGTCACGCGCTCAACAGAAAGAGCTGCGATTGGCTCTAATGTTCTGGCGCTGTTTACTGATGATAAACACTGATAAACAGCATCGGCTATCACAGCTGATACACGATAGATGCGCAGGGCCGGAATAACGTAAGGGCTAGGTGGGGCTGAAGCCCCAGGGCCAACGGAAGAAGGGGGCCCTTGATTGGCTGAAGATTTAATTTGCGCTATGATGTGGGAAATGCCTCTTTGTGTTATGCTTTCTCTCATTGATAATGCAACGTTTTCCTTTCGGTTCGCTGCTGTTCAAAAACAGTGACGATAGTGCTAAACAGGGGCTCAGAGTGGCTGTAGCCCAATCAGAATATTGAATAGGTAGGCTAACCAAGCTCGTCATAGAACAAAAAATACAATTCAAACAGTCTTCATCATTAATACACTTGTACTTGTAGTAACAGAAGCTTGGATAGGCGGAATCATGCTGAATAGACTCAAAACTGAAGCGCTGTCTAGGCTGGATGGATACTTTTTATAACTGTCCGTTATATTGTGTGATGGAAGGATTGTGCGGGCGCGCGCCGGTTTGAGTCCAGCTGTAACCGACGCGCGCCCGCAAAATCCTTCCATCGCACAATATATTGGACAGTTAAAAAATATCCATCGTTGCGGCGTATCTCTCAAGTAAACACTCGGTTATGTTTTACAGTAAGTCTAACTGAACCAGTAAGAAGGAAAACTTTTTTTAATGAATGTTTACTTTGCCCCTTTTATGAAAATGACATTAATAATATGAAGCAATGACTTTCATCAGACAATACATCTGATTAAAAAATAAATAAAAATAAATAAATTAATTAATTAAATAAGGATGCTAGGCTTCTATAACCCAGAAGACCACAATAGGCTATTTTGGATATTTGAAGCATGGATATTAAAGATATTATATCATGAGGAATTTACGGTCAGCTAAAGTTCTAAAGAAACGTTTTAAAGATAAACCCCTATTTAAAATATTTATTATAAAGCACTAATTTAGGAAGTATTGCAAACGTTTTTTGATTTGCTGATTTTTGCAGCTTGTTTGAACTTTAAAGTTCATATTATGTCATTACTTAATGTTGTATACTTGCAGGCCTATTTTAATAAAATAGAAAAATATATATTATAATCAAATATAAATTAAATGGTGTAAAATTAGATAATAATATTAATTAGTAAATTATTATTATTATTATTATTATTATTATTATTATTATTATTATTATTATTATTAATCATAATAATAATAATAATAATTATTATTATTATTATAAACAACAACAATTTATAAATATGTACTTTTGTGAGGTAAAAAAATTTAAAGGAGGGCCCTTGGATTTGCTATAGATCCAGGGCTTAATCTGCTCAGTCCTCAGCAGACATGCTCGTGTGTGTATCCAGAAGTAACGCTGTAACAGCCGAGAAGTGAGGAAAAAGTCACGCCAACAGGTCAGAGGTCCAAAGCGAGAGAAAGAGAGAAAGGGAGTTTACCTTCATTTTCTCAATCGCAGTGAAATAGGGGCTACTGCTGTTCAGAGTCAGTAAAAAGACTGTCCAGCAAACTCAATAGCAGCTCACAAGAGTTTCTGCGTTTTTAAATGTTTTAATGACTCGCGCTCGCCTCCCTCGCCATAGTAAGCTGCCGCGACATAGCGCATATGAGATAACTGACGTCAATACGTGATAACCGGTTATGATTATTACTGAACCGATACCGAATTGTCCACATCTGCATCACGGTGCACCGAAGAAACAATTCATTTTGACAACCGTAATGAATTAAGAAATTGCTGAGAACGTCTGAGTAGAATCATAAAAAAAAAAAAAAAGATTTGAGCTTATAAGAACAAGCAATTCTATGTCCAATGATTGTGATTTATAATTCTTTTAAATGTTTGTAATAATTAAAACTTTTATCATTATTCAAATGTATTTTATTATTTATTTACATATTATTTATATACTTATGCAAATAGCTTCTATAATGTTTGATTTATATATATAATAAAATAAAGAAATCTTGCTTGGTTAAGTTTTTTTTTTTTGTAATATTTCGATACAACATTGAATCGTATCGCTGTAACCCTTTAAGATTAACAAAAAACAATAACTAAAATTAAATTTCTCAGCCTCTGATATGTCCCATGTTTAATTATCCATTCATTTATAATTAATTAATTTATTTATTTTAATTAGTAACAGATGCACTATACAGCACTACAAAATAAAAAAAATATTTTTTTGTTCAATAATGGTAAAAACGTACAGACTCTCACATAAGATAACACATACTGTTGCATTTCATATTCTTCACTATCTATAAATGAAATAAACCAACCTGTTCATCATTAGTCATGGCACTCCAGGGCAGCTCGTCCAGATTTCGATGGGGTTTACTTTTTCTTTTGGAAACAAGGCAGGGTGAACTGGGAACGCTGGGTATGATGTCTGACAACACATCACTGCCACTGGCGATGTCACTGCCTGGTAACTACAAAAGACAGTGTTTTATTTAGCAAAGTCTTCAACATAATAACCAACGGCTATTCTATAAGTTAAGAAAATAACATCAAGCTATATATGAACAAAAACATTTGGCTTACCTGCCACTCAAATTCACTGTCTGACCAATCCCAGTAAGTGCTAATGGAGGAGGACACATCACTGCAGACACTGCCTTCCGGGAACAGGTCGAAGGATGTGAGTTCCTGATCATCCAGGAGTGAGTAGCAGTCATCCTGATCGCCCACAGAAACAGAGGAGAAGAGCTCCTCGCTGCACTCTGAACTAGCAACACTGGTGCCGCACGATGTCAGGTTCCATCTGCAAAAAGGTGACCAATGTTGACGAAGCTGTTCACACATGACACTGACAGCTCATTTTTATTCATTTTACTGACTAAATAAGTCTATACAATACACAAGACATGTCACTCGTATTGTTTTAAATGGGGAAAAGTGTAACAGTTAATATGGTGAATGAAGCCCCTCCTACTAGTACAGGAGCCAATCAGGGATTGTTTTAAACTGACGTTGCTCGGGGGGGACACCTCAGACCAGACATGTGCTTTTACGATAGCTGGGTGGTCAACAAACACAGTAGAATCTCAGCGAATACTTGATTCACAGACATAAGAAATATATCAACATAAGCTTGAAATCTGTGCTTTTCAAAGAAACAATTACACTTGAAAACAAAAGTTTTTTGCGTTTGTAATCTGTATGAAATGAACGTGAGGTACAGTCCATCCTGTCAAACGCACATCACATGACAGCAATAACTACTCAAACGGCCACAAACTTGTAAACAAAGAGTCACTGTCATTTCTGGAGGAGATTCGCCATCAAGAGCAAGTTGTGAATTACTTCAGAAAAGGAAGTGGATCAAAATCTTTCATTAAAGTTACTTTAATTTGGTCTGTTACTTGCTGGTTTCTGTACGTTTCAAAGTTTAAGGAGATTACGTATTCAATCAATATTATAGATTAATACTGGAGTAATTTAAACCCTTTTCAAACTCACTTTCTAGATGCTCCTAAGACCTTATTTAGCATTCTCCGGTGTCTTTGATTAGGGCTGAAGAGCTAATCCCAGAAGAGCAGTTGACCGCATTTGTTAAACCTTGAGCCTTTAAGTGTCTAATGCTATGTCTCGCTGCAAAGGCTGTACCCTCCAGAGAGTTGAGCTGATGTTATCCCTATAGGATTTGTAGGGTACCTTTATTCACAAACGCTGCCAGCAGAGCAACTGCCTGAAGAGACAGTGATGCAAAAAGTTAGCTGCTTAAGCTTTGGAACAAAGGCCTGAAATGGATCAGAGGTGCAAACTACTCAGGGGTGAAACAAAAACAGACAAACATTACAAAAAGGAAGGCAACATGTTTTAACTTCATCTATCAATATGTATGTATTGTATGTACTGTGTGTTTGTGTTTAAAAATCAGACATTGCAAAATCTTGTTTTTCTCTGATATCTACTCACTGGCCACTTTATTAAGTACACCTTAATAGTACCGGGTTGGACCTCCTTTGGGCTTCAGAACTGCCTTAATACTTTGTGGCATAGATTCAACAAGGTACTGGAAATATTCCTCAGAGATTTCGGTCCATATTGACATGATAGCATCACGCAGTTGCTGAAGATTTGTTGGCTGCACATCCACTATGCGAATCTCCAGTTCCATCACATCCCAAAGGTGCACTATTGGATTGAGTTCTGGTGACTGTGGAGGCCATTTAAGCACAGTGAACTCATTGTCATGTTCAAAAAACCAGTCTGAGATGATTTGCGCTTTATGACATGGTGCGTAGGGCTGTGAAGGTCACCGTGCCAACCGCGTTACCTTGGTGGTCATTTGCCACCGCGTTTTTTTTTTTTTTTGAACAGCAAATATACAATTTAAACATGACATCCAAAAATACAAAAGTAACTAATGACATAAACTAAAAAATAAATTACATAAATCAAACAAATAAAAAGACAATTCAACATGGAGATCTTTACAATGATAATATTTTAACTTAGCCAATTGACAGCAAGAATACTAATCAATTAACTTCAGCTCCTTTGCCACAATAATTGTATTTATACATTTTTCACTCTTAATATATTGGAGCGATTCTATATACAAATGAAAATCTGTAATAGCAACATTTAAACAAGGTTGAGTGTCGTTTAACCTGCATTTATGAACATGAAATTTACTGAACAAAATCAAAAGATTCAATAAAAATTCCACAGATATATTGTTTGAAACAAAATAAAAAAATAACGTCAAATTGCAACTAAAACCTGATTTTTTTTTGACATACAATGAAAGACCTTCCCAAAATGTTTTGGAATATTCAAATCATAAAAAAAGATGAATCGCCACCGCGGTTGTCCATTGCCACCGGCGGTAGTACGTGACATCACGCACTTTAAAACACAAATTACCGTTATGTTGCCAAGTATTACATATCTGTTAAAATATCAATAGGCACAAGAGATTCAGAGATTAACATTAGATTCAGCAGGTTCAAGTTCAACCATTAATCTTGTTAGAAAACAAAATCTTATATCTGGGAACATTTTGGATTTGTGCCGACCCAGAAAGGTGAATGAATTAATTTGGATTAAGCTTTTTGTACGTTTTTTTAAGTGTTAAAGTGTGTTTTAATATTTACTGCTTAGAATCCAAACACTGAAGAGCAAATCCATCAATACGCAGATCCACGGGTCCCGAACCATGCAAGCCAGTGGCGATTGATGGCGAGGGAAAAAAAGCCACGCAGGCTTTAATCAACTCCTGTCTTCTAAACGCTAAAGCCCAGCTCAGCCAGGTATGGCAAAGCATTTCCAAAATTGGCCAGATACAAAAGAGAAAGTGATAAATGGAAGACATTGACGAGAAATGGAGCAACATATTTGGTAACTAGTTAAGCCGCTATGCAGTGTAGAGAAACCTGCTTTGCGAGAAATGCAGGCGGCGGAACAGAAGCAAGAAACCCTCTCTCGCATGGTTGTGAAAAAGTAGCCTATATGTGCATTTGCGCTACAAGCACACCATCTGACAGTGTTTTGCTGGAAACATTATAACCCCATTCTTCAGTTAAACCGGACAAAGTCAACATGTTAGTTTTTCTGGCAAATAATTTAAAATATGAATACAAAAGGTGGAGAGAACCTACGCTGTTTAAACATCTGACTTATATTGTTACTAGTAGGTTAATATTTTTTTTTACTTATAATTATTAATATTTATATTATTAGTGATTAGTAAAGTGCCATTTAGGCTATTTGGTAAGTTCTTAAAAATGTAACGTTTAATTGTTATTATTATACGGTTTCAGACCAGTGGTTTAAATTATATTTTATTTTACTGATTTCTTTTTGTTTTACTTCAAAAAACATAAATGTTTAAAGTTTTGTATTGCATATATATTTTTAAAGATTATCCTTCAGCCTACCTGCAGTGCATAGAGGTTGTGTGCTGGGCAAATCCCCTTAACTCATGCTACCCATTTTATTTATGACACTGTAAACTTGACTTCGCAGGCTGATCATCTTTAGACTCAAAAGCTATTTTTAACTTGAGACGGCTTCTGCTTTATGGGATGTTTCTTATTACAACTTGTTAGCGAAAATGAAAATGAAGTCAAAATGAAAGCAAACATAAAAAAGGGTTTTGTTTCATCAATTGTATAGTTTAGTTTTAATAATAATGAATATAATAAATTATAATATTGATTATAGTGTAGACTACTGTGCAGAGTCCAACAAAACATTTTTATTAGGTTACTCTAATGGACCTAATCCCTAACTAAAAAGGAAGTTTTTAGTTTTCGCGTGCGCATTTTAAAGGCTTCAGGTGCACCCTGACCTGACGTGGGGACCAGGGGCCTCATGTACGAAGACTTGCGTGGAAATCATACTAAAACATTGCGTACGCACAAAGCTGTAAATGTGCGTACGCAGAAAAAAATTCAGATGTATGAAACACTGCGTACGCCGAATCTCACGCATATGCTTTTGTACATCCGAGTGAACGTGAAACTGAGCGCGCAACATGCACGAGCGCAAAACCCCTCCCTGCCTCCTCCCCCGTATGAATATGCTAATGACTATGTAATGGTAAAACCCAACGAAAAAGCAATGGCAACAGCAAGCAAAAAGAGAAACTTTGAACAGAATGTGAATTGGAGGTGCTGCTTACGGAGGTAGACCGGAGAAAAGCGGTGTTATTTGCAAGTTTGTTCTCCAGAATTAACAACAAAAGAAAAAAAATAGAGTGGGAGAGTTTAGCTGATGCGGTTAACACAGTTGGGTCTGAACATCGCACTGAGTGAATTAAAGAAGAAATATTGTGGTTTATAAATGTAAAATGTTGCGGCACCCGTAACAGTCTCAGTGGTGCAGCTTGTAAGACACATGCCAACATATTTTGACACGTTCAAGCATGAACTCGGTTCGAATCCAGCGTCTGATGAACTCTTTCTTCTTTTTTCCCCTGCTACATATCAGATTTTGCCAACTATTTATCACGAGAAAGACAAGTAGGAATCATTAATAAGTTTGTGCATCATATTTTATTTGCACATCTATTGAATGGAAATGTTTCTGATTCACGCATGCAAATTCATCTTCAGATAGTGTCTTTATAGCAATGTGCGTGCAGTAGATCGGTCTGATTACATTGGGAAAACAGGCGACCGCTGCAAATTGTGCTTTAATGTTTAGCTGGTCAACTGTATGGTATGGAAACCTTATATACCTGCTAGATGAACCCGTCTCATACAGCTGCCATTGCAAGGCTCAAAGACACTTTGTAGAGAGGAATTTAACACAACTGCCTATAGGAGTCGCCAATGGAAATAAAACAGACACACACAAAAAATGTGCGTACGCCAGCCAGAAAGCTGCCGTGAAGCTGCGCACATTCCCACGTTCAGTTCATTGTTAGTAAATCCAAACGTGAGCGATTCTGAGCGTGAAACCTGGCGTACGCAAAGTTTTTGTGCGTACGCAGCATTGATACATGAGGCCCCAGGTCTGCACTATTGCTTTAATTTCATAATTGCATTGCATTTTCATAAGGTTAAATATCAAATTTTATGTTCTAAAAGTAGTAGGAATGACGGGAGTGTTAGTAATTAATGACAGAAAGAACTTTCACTTTTGAGTGAACTTCTGTCACGTGTTATTTTAGTATGATAAAATAGAATAGATTTTATTGAATAGAATAAAATTATGAAAAACGCATTCAAGACTACACACATGAAATAAAACATTCTTAAAACTTCAGCAAGCCAATTTCAGAAATCTCATTTGCAGTCAAATAAGCATTTATTTTTGCAAATAGAAAAAAGATTAAAGCTATCTGGATTGACAAGAGAGCCTTCTACTTTATAATCTTTTAACTTTCACAACAAAGTTTAAATCTGTCTTTACAGCATTAATGAACAAGTGGCTTTATCAGATCTGTTTAGCAATCTGTCCAATGCATTTGATAGCATAAACATTATTGAGCAAGTCTGGGGTAAGATGGAGAAGGAGGCATTAAAGATGAATTCAAAGAAACTTGATGAAGACTGGAAGTCCTGCAAGAATGCTTTCATTGCCATTCCAGATGACTTTATTAATAAGTTATTTTTAGTCATTGCAGAGATGTATGGATGCAGACGTCCAATCTAATGAAGGTCATAGACAATAGTTTTTTTCACTGCACCATGCCTTTATAAAAATCAAGCCATGATCACATTTTGTTTTAGTAAAAAAAAGCTTACTCTAGAGGCCTTTTCCTTTCATATAAGCCACTTCTGATACCAAATGATTGACTAGAAGTCAGGTTATTATTTAGTTTCCTAAAACTTGGATAAGCAACAAGACTTTTGTCAAGTAGTGAATGGGGTATATGCCGAGCTAGTGTGTTTCACATATTGATAAACTTCCGGTGACCTGTTATTGTGAGTTTTTTTTTTCAAATTCATACAATTCCTTTTACACCATCGATGTTGTAATGTAATTCAAATACAATCAGTTAAATAGACTTTGGCATTCATTTAGTTGCTCAAGCGTAAAACAAGACAAAAAGCCGTTGGCTCACACCCGCCTGTCAGAATCGGCAAGCTAGCGCAGAAGCTCCATTGAATACACTGGGGTAAAATAAATGGTCATAATTCAAAGACATGGCAGGGGAAAATGTAATTTAATAAAGTGCTTTTTGTACAATCTGAAACCCACTTTATATCGGACATCACGTGGCCAGTGGAGATCGCTGATTTTTAAAGAAAACAGACCTTAAACGTGCTGATTTTGCATTGGCACACAATTCACCAGAAACGATTAACCCAGGTTACTGGCAAATTAAAAGTCCTATTAGCATGCTTCGGCATATACCCTATACCCCACTAAGTCTATGATCTTGTAACCACAACCTTCTTCAAATTTCGCAAAGGATTATAATAGGTTTGAATGATGCTCAATTTATTGTTGGTTTTATTTTGAAATTGTATGCTTCGTACTGAGAAACTTTTATTTTGAAACTTACCTCCCTGCATTGTTAGTTCCGGTGAGAAAGCTCAGAAAAAAGTGTGCAAAAGAACGGAAAGAGATTGCTACTTTACTGATGACAGAAAGTCTCATTTCATGAGAAAAGGGTCATCATTGAATGCTTTAGCACTCTCCGAAGACGCACAAGGTTAGTGTTGGCAGAATGTTTTGTGTGTGTTTTAGCCTTGTGTGGAAGTATTTAGAATATAATGGTGAGCAGCTAATGCCGAGTTCAGACTGCATGATTTTCAAAGTAGTCGTGTCACAGATATTTTCACACTGCATGACTATCTGGGCTAGCGTTTCGTCGCTGCTTTGCTTACACTGCAAGATGGATCTGCGACAGGGGGTTTCACATTGCATCACTTTACAATAGGAAAAATCGCCGACAACTACGTTCAAACTATGTCTCACAGCCAAAAACACGTAATATCTTTTGTTATTAACTACATAGCAAGAAAGAAGCCTTTAGTAGGGTAGAAAATTTACATTGTTTGCTCACCTGGGTTTCAAGGGAATTATCATATTTCTCCTCAACTTATTTTTATTACTTTCTGTATAAAACGTCAAACAGACACAGATGGTCCTGTCAAACCTCCATTTCTTGGTTCCAAATAAACCGAAAATTAGCGCTTTTAACTTCTCCCTCAACCTCCCGCTGTGATTTCAGGCACTTGTCGGCGATTTCTCAAAACCTGTCGGTGAGTCAAAATCGGGGCTAAAATCATGCAGTCTGAACTCGGCATAAGTTTACATTAAGCTAATACATTAACTATTGTAATAATGTATTTTTTGTTGTATTCTGTTTAGCTCTTACGTTGGTGTTTTATTTAATAAAACAATAAAACTATCAGTTAAATTCTTGACCATCTATTGGGGAGGACGCTACAACCACTGATCAACACAATTTAATCGAATGACCTATTTACAGCCGGAAATGGAATATTTCGCCTAAAGGTGACAAGCTTGCACCCCTGTAGATGAGTCAGATAAGGAAGTCATTCAAAATCTGTACTGTTAAGATGCTTCAAAGAACAAGGTTGGGCAACACCGGTCTGTCCTGTTATTCCCAAAATAAAAGAGATCTCTAACCCAGCTACAATCTTGCATGCCTCGGTTTCAACCTTACTCTAACACAGCTCATCAAAGTGCAAAATACAAAGACTACAACATACACAAGACTTGTCACACGTATAGTTTTAAATAAGGAAAAGTGTAACAGTCAATATGGTGAATAAAGCCCCACCTTCTTGTACAGGAGCCAAACATTGAGCACTATAGACTGAAGGCTGATTTATACTTCTGCATCAAACGCCGGTGTATGCTACGGCGCTGACGCATAGCCCTTCGCCGTGGCCGTCGGCGTCGCTGACGTGCACCTCTCAAAAAAATGTAACTACACGTCGCAATGACGCATAGCGCAAGCTCTGTGATTGGTCGGCTTGGTAGCGCTGACAAGTCTGGGCAGGACCGAGAGCCGCGTGAATGGTGCGAGCCTGATGGAGCGATTGTTTACAAGTGTGGAGTCCTGTGAAGGAGCTCTGGATGGAAAGATTTGTTTTGTGTTTACCTCATAGTTAAAGTTGTTGCACGTCCGCCGGTTCCTGCCTCAAAATGAGCGAGTTTGAGCCACTTGTACATCACGGAAGTGTTTAGGAAAAGCAAAACAGCACCGAAGAAATTCGACACAGAGGAACATTAACACCTCACTGCCAACTAGCATTTCGGAAGTGTTAATGCAGACCAACAGAGACAGCGCGCAGAAGTATAAATGCACAGCCACGCGCGTTGCATGCGCCGTGGGTTACGCCGGTCACTTGACGCAGAAGTATAAACCAGGCTTAACAATTCTCCGGGGGAGGGGCTTGGATTTGAAAGTTTATTATTAAAATTAAAGTGACAATTGCTTAATTTTATTGGCGATTCCTAATATGAAATTTAATCAAAAGCTTGGCAAAAAAATTTGGTTAATTTGATGTTTCCACATTCAAACAGAATGCTCAAGTATTCTGCCTGAGAGGCGTTTCAAAGATACCTGCCGAGTGAAATGACTTGCCTCACAGGGACTTTAGTATTAATCAATAACCCTGAACATCTTCATTCACATGTTCTTGACTTGGGTTGAAGCTAAAATTGTCTGTAGCTCTTCAACAGCCAGGTTGGAAACCCAATGTAAAAGAACATCTGTACAGTACCAACATATTCATGGACATTACTAATATATTCCAACCTAAATAACCAGTGTCTTACCTGCTGCTGTGAAAGCGGTGCAATGGGTCAGTCCGGTGGCATGATGACAACTGACATCCAAAGTCACTAACATCCAATGTGGCATCCTCGCTGAAGTTTCCTCTCTGTGAGAGCAGTGGAAATGGCTCTTCCGGAGCAAGAAACTTCTCATAGACGCCCTCAGACATCTGTAAGCTACATCACAGATACTAGCATTAGGAATTCATGTCTTCCAACAGACAGCCATCAAGCATTAAAGCACATGAGATTGTTAGATGTATTTTGGCATAATTATTCTTAAAATTATGCTGTTATGGGAGATTTGCATACTTTGATACAGTAACAGTATTCAGATTGGATAGTTAAAGGCACAATAAGTAAGAATTTTCCATTAAAATATACAAAAACCACAAGAACAGTGTTATATTTTTAGGTGATGTATGTACATAATATTCTCCCAAATGTTTCAAACATTGTTCAAACTAAGGTTAGGTCGATAGACGATGCCATCGTTGATGGCCGATAGACATCACGATGCTGAGCCGGCATCGCAATCCTCTGCCCCGTCAGCAGCAGCAACCCGCTCGCAAAAAAATACACACTAAAGGCTCATACACACTGGGACGCTTTTTGTCTGCATTTATTGCCAGCGTTTTTTGAGATGCTTTTCCAGATTTAAGTCCGAGATTTTCACTGGCGACGAGCAGAGGAGTATGCAAAATCACTCCTTGACGTTAGATGCCGCTCAATGAGAAACTGAAAGACCCCGTTGCACAGGTTGCTGCTACACAACTTTAAGCTTCTGACACCCGCTTGTAACACAGAAGAAGAAGAGAGAAAGTTGACACGCTTGTTAAAGTTACTGGCGATTCGTTTGCATTGAAAGTTTTGCACTTGAGCGGCTCAAAGTGGTGTGTACTGTAACTTCAGCAGCTCAGTGCACGTGAACATTAGTGCCAGTCTGATTTTACACCTGACGCTTTGTGAGTTGGTGTGCACGATCGCATTGGTGCCCTTTATTTAGTCACGAGTCATCAAACGTCAACAAAAAACATAAGCAAAAAGCATTCCGGTGTGAACGGGCCTTTAGGCCCTGTATACACTAATACGTCTTAGTTTTAAAACGGCATTTTAGAACGAAAATAATCAATGTCCACACTGGTGTTTCACTTAGCATTTCTGAAAAGCCCTCCTTCTACACCAGGGGTGTCCAAACTTGGCCCTGGAGGGCTGGTGTCCTGTTGAGTTGCTAGCTCCAACTTGTTTCAACACACCTGCCAAGAGGTTTCTAGTATATCTAGTGAGGAGCGTTTAATCAGGTTTGGAGCTAAACTCTCGAGGACCTCCAGGACTGAGTGTGGACACCCCTGTTCTACACTATACCATTGAAAATGAACATTACATGGCCACACACACCAACGCACGCATGCACGCACGCATGGACTGCAGCATACATGCAAGCAGTCAGCCGGTGCTTGGAGCACAAAACCACAAAGAGCAGTGCACCTCAGACAGTAGGGCTAGGCGGTATATAGGGTTCTGGGGATATGTAGATATGATTCCACAACGCGATGCGGTATTATCCAATATCATTTTTATCGATATAGTTTGAGGCCACATGTGCGCATTCTGCGCGAAACAGACCACTCCAAGGTAGCACGCAAGCTAAACTTACACAAAAGTTCGCATGCGCAAATAATTGATTCACTCTATGAGTCATAAAAACGATTTGTCCAAAATGCTATCACAGCGTTTTTTCAGAAACCTTTCATCGATCATGCTGCAATTGACAATTGACTACAAGAACGAAAATAGAAGCCTTGTCAAATTGACAAGCAGCACCTGAATAGAAAGTGAAACCAGCTCATACTCACTGATTATAAGTTCAGTATTTATTACATGACGGTCTCATCTTTACATTTACGCTTTAACACATTTACCGTTCTGGTCTGTTATAATGACTGTTTACATTTATATGCTTAACCAGCATTTCATTACAGTTGAAAGATTACGTGCATTTTAGTTCAGTTGCATTTACATTGATTAAACTCTGATGTGATATGATGGGTTGACCTGTGCCTCAACCCCCACAAACTGATGGGTGTGAACTAAATGACCCTTTAACAATCTCAATAGCCGCGTTTCCACTATCGCGCCTAAAGCGAGCGAGCCAGGGCGAGCCAAGGCCAGTGGCGTTTCCACTGTCACTTCCGGGGCAAAGCGGGGCTTTCTTGGGGCCAGCGGCCGGCTTTTTTCGGCCCGCCGAATACCTTGGGCCAAAGAGGGCCAGCCGGGGCTTCAGGGCGGAGTGAAAGGAGAGGCGGGCACAGTTTACCGATCGCACACGAGAACAAATAAATAAGAGAAAGAAAACATCTGGAACAAATTATAGGCTGGGGTCTTTTTTGCATATGATCGCCCTTATGTTTCTCTTTTAAATGTAAGGTTGTTGCATAAAATGATAGTTTTAATAAGTCACTTTTCTTTGCTGCATCTCTTTGATGTTTCAATAACGCATACTAATCTTTACACCATATTAAAGACACAGCAGACAGTAAAGGATTTCAATAGGTTTTGCCAAGTTTAATAAGTGTGTTTTTGCGCGATTAGATGCCTGTGCGTGTGTGAGACCGAGGAAAAGAGCGCTCCATTCATAGCTGATGCCGCGATCGGCTTTTTTCTTTTCTTTTTATTGTTTTAATTTATTTTGGAGATAATACACTATATGAATACAACAGAAAGACATTAAACTTTACAATTTTCATGTCCGCTTTTGTAGGCTCAAAACAATAGTGTCATATCTAGATAAAATAGCCTAAGCTATATTTAAATAATTTAAAGAATTACAAATTTTAGATAGGCCTATAATAAAATCACATTAAATAAATAAACCAATATAAAACTAACAAAAGCTATAGCTATAACAATTAGGTACTATATCAAACTGTTTCAAATTTATATTAAACTTTCATTTTTCAAAAGCCTCTTTGAAAAAAAGATTTTCTAAAAAATAAATAAATAAATAAACACCGGAAAATGTTTTAAATATTATTTATAAAGTATTTGGATACGATGAAATTAATTAAATCATGCAAACAGAGCATTTTTGGGGTGAGTGAACGCAGAAATAGGCAACCTTTTTTTCTGTCTGCAGCTGCGCAGCACTTTTTTAGACGGGGAAAACTGCAAGTTCAAAATGTGTTCTGTGTCCTCAAACAAGTGTGTATGTTTTTATATATTGTGGTAAAATTAAAAAAGGAAATTTAAAATACATAAAGAGCTTTATTAGTGCATTGCTGCTGAGCGCAACGAAATATAGGCAATATTTTATTACGTGCTGCTCTTATGTGCTGAAACACTGAACACTTTCCTTTACTTTAGATATAATAAGCAACATCTTTAAATAAAGGGAATCACCTATTAAGTGTCATAAAGCCTATAGGGGAAAAAAATCATGTTTCAGTTCTCTCCGAGCATTTGGGATGAATGTTGGACACCGTCTGTCTAGAGGATGTTATAAAATACATTTTATATCGAGTTATTAACGGAGAATTTTATATATGTGGTTTTATATTATGGATGTGTGCGCTCCCTGTGCTGGGTCCCTCCGTTGGTGGCAAGACCACTGGATTTCGATGCGAGTCGGTCGGCGAGTAAATGAATATGATGAATGAAAACACACAGGCATGTGCGTATAGACATGCGTTGTACTGCTGTACAGTAACGTGTCATTTGTTTGTTTTGGTTGTCCTAATTTTAATAGTTTCGTGACGATTTGCTTTATCTGCATGATTCTCGCTGAAGTGGGCGGTTTGAGTGACGTTCGATTCGGGGGATGTTCTGGGGGCGGGGTTTGCGTGACGCGCTGCAAGCTACTAGCCCCACAGTGGAAACGCGACATGATTTCGGCCTCACTGCTCAACCTCCCGGGCGATTGGCCCGGCCTGGCCCGATATAAGCCCTGGCTCGCACTGGCCTGATAGTGGAAATGCGGCTAATGGGTATTAGCAAAACAGCTGAAACATCTGAAGAGGGTCCTGCTGAGCCTCGTAAACAGAATGGTTTGTTTGATGCTAGTATAAAGTACTGTCTCACAGACAGTACTTTGGGGATAAGTTACTTGAAGACCGACGGGTTAACATCACTGCTGAGGAACTGCACTATTGATTGTCTTCAATAAAGTCTTCTCTCCGTAAGAACTTTGGTCAGCTTACTTATTTTATGTATTAGAGTAATCTAATACATTGGCGAGCCACCCAAGAACGGTTAAGCCAAATACAGCAAAATCTAACACAGTACTCAACAATTTCATTACTTCTCATATTGATAGTCTATTCATTTTCATCTCCGTATTGAATATTTAGTAAAACAAGTTTAGTGAACATAAAAGAAAAAGTGTAGGATTTTTTACATGGAATGAAAGACTTATCTTTAGATATTTTCAATAAGTGCAGTGTTTAATAATTGTGCGCAATACATGTAAATTTGTAACTAAAAAACACATATGCAGCTGATTTAATCGTTTATAAATCACACAACTGTGGTATACAGAATTACTTATACCAACACTGTAATTGTGACATAAAATACTGCGTGTTTCATTTTTACATTTGTTGTGGTTGTTTTCTATCATATAATATTTTTTGTTGCGTCATTATTCAAAGATTTTGTGCAGCTGTTATTTTTTGTGCAGCTGTTTATTTGTAAACAGGGAGGGAAATCCCTGTGTTTGTGGGTAAAACAGACACTCCCACTAACCACTTCGGCTGGTTGTAAATAATTTTACCAGATAAAAATTCTTAAACGCAGGGTTCAACAATAAGGATGGTTCAATATGCATGCAAAGGCGATCTTAGAATTGAGAAGCAACACGACTGACAAAAATAATTTAGTTCACGCGAGCAATAGAAAGCAGGTGAATACAGAATGAGAGGATGATCACTCGCGCTAACAGTGATTTAAAACATGTGCGCGCTCCCGTTTCCTTGCATGAAGCAACCGTGCCTAAAAACACAACTGATGTGATCATTTCTCTTTCAAATAGACTACACAAAAAGTGATGAACATGCACCCACATTCTTCCTGTGTTAAAGAGTTCCAAATTTGTATTTTTGTAGGCAGCAATGATTGCTTTCGCTTTAAATATTCTTTGAACAGATTATTTATGGGTCTAACGTTAACCGTGTTTGTGTGATCATTCTTTCATTATCACACGGTATGTTTTCTTTACCTGCTCATTTTTTTACAATAACATTGCTTTAATGGGAGATAAACTCAGCAGCATTTTGTGTGTAGTTAACTGGTGATCTAGGACCTTTAGCCAGGACAAAACAGATTACTGTGCATATGTTTTTTTAATAAAAAGAATAGTATACAGGGCTATTTTGCTTGTTTTGACACATTTAAACTTTGTGGCTAAGAAATAATTAATTGTTTATATTTGGTGTGGTCAGAGATAAATTTGATAAATCCTTCATTTTGAGCTCTGAAAATTATGTGAAATAAAAACTAATGTGTAATACTATGAAACCATGACCCATTTGCTTATGATTATTAAGCAAGCCCATACGAGACATACAAAAAAGTTAAATGAATGAGAAGGCATGTGGAGATATTGTAAAATGTAAATCAAGTCATTTTAGCAGGTCAAAGTCATATTTATGTGTATAAAATATATTTTCCTAACAATAAAATTGTGGCTAACGTTAGTGAAAATGGCGAGTGGCTAGTTATGTTGGAAAACTACTAGCCCCATTGGCTGGTGATCAAAAAAAAGTTAATGTCAAGCCCTGGTAATAACACATAACGTTACATACTTAGTACAATTCTGTGATGTTTTAAATTAAATTGTGATACCAGTAACTTAAGTTACATACAATCAGAACTCTAAGTTAACCAACGTTACTAAAATTAGCAGGCCAGCTATCATGCTAAGGTACACCACAGCCTCTCTAAATAGGAATTAGGCCTTTATCGAAATACGATATTCTCTGTTGCAGGGAGATAAACGAACTCCTTTATTTAATGTAGGGGGGAGTTAAATAACACCAGTACACGTATTCGTTGTTAGCAACTCGCATCGTTAGCGTTTAACCACCGTAAACCACTTCACTTTGTAATCTGCCTAAAAGCTGATCCCGGAATAAAACAAGCATTGAATTCAATTATATTAGTCGTTATATCTCACACATACCTGTCGTGTTATCTATTTTAAGGGTTTAATATGACCAAAACGAACATCGGATCTCAATCCTCTTCCGCTGTTTGCTGTTTTCCTCCGATGTTGTCATTCCTTTTTCTTCTTCTTCTACTTCATCCTCTTTTTGTTTGACGGTAATCCATATCTAAATGCACTGTCGCCACCTACATTACAAGCCAGCGAACCGCATTTGTTACAGGGTGAGGTGATGATCAGGGGCCGTTCACAAAACATTACAAAACTCCCATTTCCTTTTTATTTTCGAAAAGGGTGTATTTTGACTTGCTGAAAAAAACGTCTTAAGAAAATGCATTATATTTTTAAACTTCTTAAAAGCATTCTTTAAATTCAAAACTAAATCCATGGCTGTCCACAGGGTGAGATTGAAATGAAAGGAGTCTATTTCTTTTTTAAATACTTATCATTACACATTTATAAAACTATCTAACTACTACATTATTTTACTTATCTAAATTAAAATTTAGAACATACCTGTCAACATTGGAATGTGAAAATAGCTAAGGCAGGGGAGGCCAAACCTGTCAAGTAGGTATCGCTGCAGCCTGGAGACCTGCAAGTGGGAGGGATTACACCGCAAGTAGGTTGGGTGGCCTCCAAGTGGAAGGGACTTAAACCACAAGTAGGTTGGGTTTAGGGTTGGGTTTAGGTGTAGACGTTCATAAAAATACAACAGGTTACTGTGAGGTTGGGTTTAGGGTTAGGTGTACACATTCATAAACCACAATTTTGAACTCTAAATACGACTAAATTAGGTTTGCACAGCCCACTTGGAGCTTTAAGGTTCACCCACTTGGAGCTGGCTCCGACCTCCGTTTATACCCTTCTCACCCCTGAGCTAGGGTATACACTTTAAAAATGCACAGATCTATAATGAAAGCATTTGACTGCTTTCCTAACTTATTGCTCATTTAAGCTAAATTTGTTGTGTTTAAAAGAAATCCCAAGATAGACATGTTTAGATATTATTATTATGATGATTATGATGATTATTATTATTATTATTATTATTATGTGTGTGTATGTGTTCAAACATGCACCCAAAACCCAGCGTCCACTTTTGCTGCGCTTCAAATCACATCACAGCAACGGCACCTGAAATAGAAAGGAGGAGAATTCCACTATTTTTATATTTATTTTTTATTATTATTTTAAAGTTTTTTTTATGACTAAATAAAATTAAAGCACAGAACAGACTTACATTTAAAAGCAAGAAGCGTCCTCTGGTGGTTCAGCGGTATGGGTTGCGCACAGGGAGGATCTGCTCTTTAATGTTTTTTGCCACCCTTCATAGAAAAAGGATTTAAAATACGGGAGAAATATGGGGGAAAAAATCTTTATGGGATGATATCGGGATAGAATTGCAAAATACAGGAGATTCCATGGGAAAAACGGGAGGGTTGACAGATATGATTTAGATGTCTGTGTTCCAGATACTATCGTCATCCATGTTTATGCTGAAACGTTTTCCTGTGAGTAAATTCAAATTTGATGATAATAATGCTTTAAACTTTACATTAAAAATGCAGCTGTGATATAGCTGCTACTTTAAAATGTATAGTAATTTAATAATGAAAAATAAATAAATACATTTTAGAAGTAACACTGTCTGAAAATGTATGTACTGTTAGTTTTTATACACCGGACACTATATACACTAGTTGGACCCACATTTGATATAAGAACTACCTCAATCCTTCGTGGCATAGATTCAACAAGGTACTGGAAATATTCCTTAGAGATTTTGGTCCATATTGACATGTTAGCATCCCGTAGTTGCTGCAGATTTGTTGGCTGCACATCCATGATGCGAATCTCCCTTTCCACCACATCCCAAAGGTGCTCTATTGGTTTGAGGTCTGGTGACTGTGGAGGCCATTTGAGGACAGTGAACTCATTGTCATTTTCAAGGAAAGATGATTTATGACAGGGTGCATTATCCTGCTGGAACTGGCCATCAGAAGATGGGTTCAATGTTGTCATTAATGCATGGACTTGGTCAGCAGCAATACTCAGGTAGGCTGTAGCATTGACTCGATGCTCAATTGGTACTAACGGGCCCAAAGTGTACCAAGAAAATATCCTCCACATCATTAAACCATCACTACCAGCCTTAACTGTTCATGAAAAGCAGGACGGATTCATACTTTTATATTGTGGACACTAAATTCTGACCCTACTAACCGAATGTCGCAGCAGAAATCGAGACTCATCAGACCAGGCAGGTGAGTCTGTGCGAATTGTAGCCTCAGTTTCTTGTTATTAGCTGACAGAAGTGGCACCCAGTGTGGTTTTCCGCTGCTGTAGCCCATCTGCCTCAAGGTTCGGCGTGTTGCGTGTTCACAGATGCTCTTCTGCATACCTCAGTTGTAATGAGGTTTTTTGAGTTACTGTTGTCTTTCTATCAGCTCGAACCAGTCGGGCCATTCTCCTCTGACATCAACAAGGCATTTGCGCCCACAGAACTGCCGCTCACTGGATATTTTCTTTTTTTTATACCATTATCTGTAAACCCTAGAGATGGTTGTGCGTGAAAATCCCAGTAGATCAGCAGTTTTTGACATACTCCAGCTCTGGCACTGTCTATCTATGACTAAAAAGGGCATGTGCACTGCATATGTTGAGCCCTCTGTGTGCACTTGCCTGAGCCTTGGTTAATCCAGGACTAGCATGGAATAATAATTATCAATCAGGAAAGTGAGTCGATAATTTACGTTTAAATTACTTAAATTTAAATCGAGTTAGTGTGTAAACAAAGTCTTGTGAACACTTTATGAAGACAACATGCTATTATCTGACTTGTGATGTCTGGTGATTGAATAGTATGTTTTGATATTTTGCAATTGTACTTTGCTTTTTGATATTTTAAAGAAAATTAAAGAATACATTTTAACCTCTTTCTCTCACACACGGACACAGGCATGACTTCCAGTCAGAGTAACAATGATAAAAGAAATGTAAAAAACAAAAAATATTAAGATACAGAGAAGCCACCATAAAAAAGTAATATTTATTTTGAAAGAATAATGACAACAAAAATGTGATAATTTTATATTTGTTTGCTGTCAAAAGTGAGCCATTAATCAACTTATGACACCTTAAATGTATTACTGCAAACTGCAACAAATTACAGTATGTTGAAAAACTTAATTTTAAAGTCGATCCTTTGGTTCTCTTTTTGACAGCACATTGTGGCAAGACAGACCAAGTGCAAAACTGAAACAGTTAGTAAAAAATGATTCCGTACAATTAATCAAATTTTCTAAATATTAGAAAAAAGTAGAAAGATTCTGAAAAACTTTACAAAGAATTTTCACATATTAGAAATACATTTAAAGTTATGAAAATGGTTTTTACTGTGGCAGAAATAGACTATTATTATTTTGTACACATAGACATGCAAAATGATAAACAATAGATGTCTTGTTTTTAATAGATAATGACAATTTGATAATATGATCTATCAGTCCTGTATTTTGAGAATACTTCTCTTCTCTATGTCATTCATCTCCTTTAATATTAGAGAAACATTGTACCTAAGCTCCTGAAACTTAGCAACTGGAACCTAGAAAATAGAAAGAAAAAAATATTAATAATAAATCACACAGAAGTTTCAAATCTTAATAGACAAACAAGCATATGCACTAGATTTAATAGAGAAATAGAATAACACAGGGTTTCTGCAGGTTTCTTCAAATCAAATTGAAAACTTTTTAAGGCCCTTTTAAGATCATGTTACAGGGTTCTTACACCTTTTCCAACTTTAAATTCCAGCATTTTTCAAGCACTTTCAAGGTGCTTTTCAATACTTTTCAAGCACCTAACCACCACGGTAAATTACGTTTATATGTGCTGTATATGTTTAAGTCCATTGTGTTATTTTAAAAAAACACAATATGACATTTTAACTTAAATTCTTGAATGCTTTGGAGCATGGATTTATTGGGATAGTTCACCCAAAAAAGTTTTTGGATGAAGTACCTTTTTAAGTTTTGGCCTCTTTCTTACAGTCAGATCGTGTTTAGGTGTAGTACCAAACTTTCATGACCAGTCGTTCATTTCATGTGCCTTGCTATTCAAAATTCATGTAACAAATTAAAACATTATTGGTCCGAGCCATTCACTATAAAGCCTGAGGGATGGAGTTAGCAGTTAACAGCGTTTGCCACACAATTTAATCACAAGATGTTCTATTTAATCCTTCAGTCACGATGTTGTCAGTGGTGCAACTGCAGCGCATTCACCATCGCAAAAGGGCTTGCATTCACTAAGATTAAGCTAATATTGCAGCTCATGAAAAGACCCTTACTGCTATTAAGATGAAGTATGCAAATAAGTTACAAGTCAATTGTTTTAAACTATTTCTAAGCGCTGCATTTGTGAGAGTGCATAAAATTGTTGCCGTGTGACCGGTTTTCATTGCAAAATGTTCACTGCTTGTGCGTATTAAGGAGATCATTACGCAGAATGAATATTTACACCTAAAATATATATTTTGAGCTTGTATAGATAAGGTTTCTGACACTATGCAACTAAAACTGTCGCAATTTCGAGCCTTGCAATTTCAAATTCAAGCAGGTTCAAGCACTTTGTCCAAAATTCAAGCACTTTCCTAACCTTGAAAACACTGTATTGAAAATCAAGCATTTTCCAAGTTTTCCAGCACCCGTAAGAACCCTGTGTTATAAAGTTGAGAAACTGTTGAGAAACATTGATGTGAAGCGATGGGTTTCTTTAGTTTTTCTTCCCTGATTAGAGAATTTAATTTGGAGAATTTGCTGTAAAAATTCTAACAGCTGTTTATTGTCTCTTTGCAATAGAAAACTTTAATATTTATTAAAATAAGTTTTAAGATGGATTATAGGTGACTGGGTGTGGGCCAGATTGAGTAGCTTGGACTGAAAAGTTAAGACCTGTATAAAATGATTTAAGACCTACAATGCAATATTTCAGTGAACTTAAGATTTTAGATTTCCTAAAATTTTGTTTTTGAAATTTAAGACATTTTAAGACTTTTTAAGACCCCACGAACACCCTGTAACATTATGACTGACTACGACTTAATTTACAGTACTTTTTCAATAAACACTCAGAATAAAGCACACACAATTCATCTCAACTACTCAGTCGATAAATATTTGATTTATTTATTTTACATTTCGTGAATACTATGTACTTGCTTAAATCTATCTGTACATTTCTGAATTCGTAGCTGCATTACAAAACAAACTTTTCATTCTTTAACTTTAACAAGCTGTTTGGACATAACTATGTGTATGTATAATGTATCCACAGTCATATTGGAGTGATAGAAACATGATCAATCTTTTTTTTTACTTTCCTGACTTTAAAATAGGACCCAAATCCCAGTGATTTTGAGGCCCACTGCAATGTGACATAGGAGTGCGGTTTTCCCCGCCCACTGATTAGATTGACAGGTGCCATGTTTGTATAATGACATGTATACACGTCAATTAAATATTCATCAAAGGCGGCAATACCAAAGCTCCAAAAATACAAATTAAATTCAAAAAACGTTTCGAGCCACACGGCTCTTCATCAGACAGTGAACGTTACACGCTTTTTGTCAGCTTTTTTTGAGCTTTGGTGTTGCCACTTTGATGAATATTTAATTTGCACCTTTTGCGTTTTTTGGCTAAGCACCCAGTTAAGAGGGATGTGCGTGCTTTTGTACAGTTTTATCATGTATACACAGGTTCACGGAACATTTCTTTTTGCAAATAAACCAGTATTTAAACGTTAAAAGTTTATGGGTAACTTTTTAAAACAGCATGTTTGTAATAAAGACAGCAAAATCCGTATGTAATTCTTCACTGCTATAATCACCACAGCCACATGCTTTCAGTAAACACTAATATGTGTGTACTGCAAACAGCATTTGTGTGTGTCTCATCATATCAGAAAGGTTTGAATAAACATTTGAATTGTTACTTTGATTACAGTGAATATTGTAATTAGGGATGCACTAATATGGATTCATTGGCCGATACCGATAAGTCTTTAGACTTCGAAGCCGATAGCCGATATGTATAGGCTGATAATTATAAAAATTTCGAAATGTTATATTTGTATACAGCAAACTTCATAAAAGATAGAACTGCTCTTATGAACTGAATAGTCTATACTCAAAGTAAAAAAGCTATCATTTCAAAACTGCAAGGTGATTATATAGACCTATATTCATGAATTCACATATATCAGCATGCCAAAAAATACATTATTCCCTTTTCTTCATAGCAAATGAACATGCAACTGAAAAATAGGTTAAAAAATAATAGGTTAAATAACAAAATGGGATTTAATCAACAAGCAAGTTAAATATATTTTAAATAAAATGAAAGAACTACGGACTGAAACCAGTTCAAATTATCTTGAATAAAACGTGTTACAGTAATGTACATATGTACATATGTCATGTCCGAAAAAACTTTTTTTAGAGGTGTTTTGACAGTTCAGAGCCACTGTACAAGCGAAAAGCTAGATACAGAATGTATTACTTAACATGCGGCATAGATTCATCCTATTAGCCGTTTTAGATTCTTTTGAACACATGTAGCTGCTGCTTGTCAATCAGACAACGCTTCTGTGTTTGATCTTGTTGTCAATTGCGAGAAAAATGATCGGTGAAAAGTTTATGATAAACCGCTGTGAGTTTATTTTGACTTATTTTAAAGATTATGACTTGAGAATATGATTTTTGACCTTAGCGCTTCACTTTTCTCCTAAACTCCTTCTCCCTTGCACTGAGTTCAGGTGACGAAGTGTTGTGGAGTAGTTAAACTATCCACAGTTTAATTTACAGTGTCAAACTGGCACAGGAATATCCATATATTAATTAAGGCTTTGCTAAAAGGCTGGTCAAATAGGTCAAATGTAGGTCTTTTTTTTACAGAAGGCAGAAGCTATAAACAGACACGCATGCTGCGACTGCAGTGATGAGACAATCATTGCATATATGTTGACTTATTTAAACTAGGCTATAAGCTATAGCATATAATAATTTTGTATAAAGAATTTTATAAAAAAAAAAAAAAAAGTAGCCAATATATCACAGGGGTTTGTGTAGCAGCAATTACAATGGACCATTAATTAAATCATTTTTTCCCAAAAATTAAATCATCTACAAAATAAACAAGAATAAAAAATTAAAAAAGACCTACATTTGACCAGCCTTTTACCAAAGCCTATATTGATATACTGATATTCCTGTGCCAGTTATACATTGTAAATTAAACTGGGGATAGTTTAACTACTTCACAACACTCAGTCACCTGAACTCAGCACGAGGGAGAAGGAGAAAAGGAGAAAAGAGCAGCGCTGAGGAAAAATCATATTCTCTAGTCATAATCTTTAAAATAATGACTTTTATTAAAAATATTAATAAAGGGTCTGAAATATAGAAATTACAGCAGTGCATAAAAATGCTCATTTTCCGTAGAGCGATTGATTTAGTAAGTAGGCCTGCTTTATTAAAATAAACTTTAAATAAAAACAGCCTATGCCTGTAATTAAAAAGGATTCAGTCAGTGTTTTTGTTTCGTAATCTAAATTTGTAAGTGGAAAATACTTAGGGCAGGCCTTTTATTCAGTTTATTATGTTTTTATATACTATCCTGAAAGATTTACAAGCAAAATTAAATAATAAACTAAAAATGGGTGGTGATGACGGTAATAACATTACTGCAGTTGACATCTCATTATGGCGGTATACAGTTAGTCACACCCCTAAATGGCACTCAATGAAACATATCTACATTGATAAGAAACATGGTTAGTTGTTCATGCACAGCAATACCACACGAAGAAAGGACAGGTTTTGAATGAATAAACAATGTGAGGAGAGCTCCATGTCTAAACAAGTTCCGCCCACGCATGCACTAGGCATTCAGTACTGTACAATTACGTAATTCATCGGCTTAAAGATATCGGTCTAATTTAGACATCGGATCGATAATGATAATCTTAAAAATAGCATTTATCGGCCGATAACGATATGGCCGCCGATATATCAAGCATCCCTAATTGTAATCAAACGGTAATTAAGATTCATTACCTCAAACTGATGTGTATGGCCATCTGACAGTTTCATCTGCATGAGAATGGAGGGCTGCAATGCTCGAGACAGTGAGCTAAACCATACAAACATAATTTTTACATTTGTTGAAACCTGTTTTTATTGTTAAGAAAAATTATTGTCTTAATCAGGGGTGTCCAAACTTTTTGGGCCGAGGGCCAGATGCAAAAAAAAAAAAAAAAAAAAAAAAATAAAAACGTCCCGGGCCAAATTTTACATACATCACCCATACACGCATATATATATATATATATATATATATATATATATATATATATATATATATATATATATATATATGTGTGTGTGTGTGTGTGTGTGTGTGTGTGTGTGTGTGTGTGTGTGAGTGTTATGGAATTATTTTAATTATTTCAACTGTGTTTCTAGAAAGACTTACGTTTTTAAAATTTTGAATCTTCTCCAGGCAAATTATAGTTGAACACTCATCAGACACTCCTATATAAATTCTCCTTCAGTGAAGGGTTTCCTGTGCATAACTAGCCAGCTTAAAAATTTCTTGCACTTTAGTAGCATGAAAAAACTGCTGTTGTTAAGCTGAAGGGGCAGCTGCTAATTGTTTTACTTTTTGATCTCGTACGGCACCAGTGTAAGAGCTGAAGACCTGATGTTTTTTTTTTTCATAATGTCTTCTAATATTATATTCCTTCATTACTGCAACTGATTCCTGGCAAATTAAACAGACACATTTTCCACTGACCTCTGAAGAAATATTTTTTGCCCCAACGTGACTAAAATTTCCTGCTCTCACTGTTGATTTTCCTTTTTCTTGGTTGTACCATGGCTCGCCAAAACGTGATTATCGATTATGTTTTCTTCGGGTTGTTCGGTTCGTTTTGCTTCATTACAGGAACTGCTGCCTGATTGAAGGCGTGTCATAGCGACACCCGGTGGTTATTTATTGAATTACGCTCATTTTTGTATAGCGGGCCAGATTCTATTAACATTTCTAAACAGCCTCGCGGGCTGCCACAAAACGGGCCGCAGATGGCCCGTGGGCCGTAGTTTGGACACCCCTGGTCTTAATGATACGAGTGCTGCAAAAATTACTCAAAAGAGTACTCAAAAGTAATCATAGTTATAGCTGTCATAATAAAACATGGAAAAATGTAATGTGTTTTTTACAAAGTAAAACAAAGGAGACAACCATCGACACATTCAAAAGTATTTAAATCACTAGTAAAATTTCAAAGCAAATCAATGCTTGTCTTACACTATCTATGTATGATTGCATTTTATACAAAAAAAAAAAATCTTATTATTGAGACCTTTTAGTTCTGCAATAATCATCACTAGTGTACCTTGTTGAAATGGCAACATCAACTCTCCATTTAAGATCCTCGATCTTCGCCAGACTTGGCCCTTGATGTTTATCGCCAACATTCATAGAGGTTTGCCTGGAAAGAGCATTGAGAAATTAAAAAACTTGTCAGGATAATACTGCAAGTGTGGAAAATGAGACCACCACTGTGCAGTATGACCCAAAAATCCAAATCACATTTATTAAAGTTTGTAGTGTCTATAACTGCAAGATCAGGAATATGAAACAAACCATTTACTAGGGCTGGGCAATATGGGCAAAATATTAGATCCCGGTATTTTTAGAAGGAATGACGGTATACAATATATATCCGGTATTTTCCCATAAATGGTTAGTTGAGAGTTAAAGCTTTTAATAAAACATTATTAAACATTTTTTAAGTAAAATACAATTCAAACACAGGGGTTTCCTTTTCTGCTTACAAATAAACAGCTGCACAAAAAGTAACAGCTGCACAAAATCTTTGATAAATAAAACACAGTACAGGTTTTTCTCTTGCTTAAAACGGTTGTGTATAAAAATGTTTTGTGCACAATTATTAAACAGTGCACATATCGAAAATATTTAAATATAAGTCACTCCATGTGAAAAATCCTACACTTTTTCTTTTGTTTTGACTAAACTTGTTTTACCAAATAATAAATACGGTGATGAAAACGAATAGACTATAGATTTGAGAAGTAACGAAATTGTTTCAAAGTACTGTGATGAAATGCTGGTTAAGCATATAAATGTAAACAGTCATTATAACAGGGCAGAGCACAGAGCTAAATGTGTTGTAACTTATAATCAGTGAATACAAAGTGGTTTCACTTTCAAAATGTGGTATAAATTCATTCCATTTTGCCATTTAAAATTGTTTTTTTAACACATTCAGGTGCTGCTTGTCAATTTGTCAAGGCTTCTATGTTTGTTCTTGCAGTCAATTGCGGAAGAAATGATTGATGAAAGGTTTCTGAAAAAACGCTGTGTCGGCTGCAGGCACTGTGTGACATGTGTGCATGCGAGGGGGAGTCAGATTTGTCTGGCCAGTCAGACTTCGATACACCGGCACTGCATGTTCCTCCATGATCAGTGATGGGTCATTCTTGAACGATTCGTTCACTTTGAACAAATCTTTTGTATGACTTATGGAGTGAATCATTCATTTGCACATGAGCACGTTTGTGCAAAGGGAGCTCGCTTGCTAACTTGAAGTGGTCTGTTTCACGCAGAATGCGCACGTGTGGCCGCGAACCATATTGATATGAATGATATTGGATAATACTGCATCATGTTGGGGAATTATATCGATATATCCCCAGATATACCGCACATCCCTACCATATACTATCAAAAATGAATCAGTTTTAAATGTTTCATAAACATTTTTATTATTATTATTATTGTTATAGGGCGAGGCAGTGGCGCAGTAGGTAGTGCTGTCGCCTCACAGCAAGAAGGTCGCTGGTTCGAACCTCGGCTCAGTTGGCGTTTCTGTGTGGAGTTTGCATGTTCTCCCTGCCTTCGCGTGGGTTTCCTTCGGGTGCTCCGGTTTCTCCCACAGTCCAAAGACATGCGGTACAGGTGAATTGGGTAGGCTAAATTGTCCGTAGTGTATGAGTGTGTGTGTGGATGTTTCCCAGAGATGGGTTGCGGCTGGAAGGGCATCCGTTGCGTAAAAACTTGCTGGATAAGTTGGCGGTTCATTCCGCTGTGGCAACCCCGGATTAATAAAGGGACTAAGCCGACAAGAAAATGAATGAATGAATGAATTATATTATTAGAAGTGTGAAATTTATCAAAGCTGATTATCATGCACATTTTGTCAATAAAGTTGGTTTTAGTAAAAGCTCCAGCATGTGCTCTCAGATGGAGCAGCATTTTCTAAAAAGAGTCGTAGTTCACTAATAACCTACACAAAATGACGTTCAAAATTGAAAACAATTTAACTGGAACAATTGTGAAATCAAGATATTCGTTCTGTGATAATGACAGCTGTTTCCGTAGATTCTCACTATCAGTGTTTTCAGCATTTTGGAAATCATAGTTCCAACATGATATTTGTCATACTAATTAGACCAAGTTCTGTGTGTTTATAATTGGGCTAAAAAATAAACATTATGGAGTAAACAGAGATTTCCTCTATATAGTGTTCTCTGTGGCAACTGAATGGAAATATGCATTGCTGAATACTCATACGAGATCTGTACGGCAGCAGATAAGAAATATATTATGCATCACTAAAAAAATTAAATGGTTTAAATTTAAATGGTTATACAGGATAAATGGATCTATTGCCCAGCAGTAATGACACATTTGTTCAAATCATACTGTACCTGTTTCCAAAGACAACAACGACTATGTCTGCAAGTAATTCTTCAGAAATCCTGTTAATAAACAACATCAATAAGTCCAACTTCACACTTTGTTTAAGAAATATTGAATAACAAAAAACTATCACAAAATAAGAAAAAATAGATATCTCACCGTAGAGCTCTAAGATCATCACTAAAAACCTGAAATAAAAGTAGATATTTACTTAGTTAATTTGTGTTTTTTTTAATGCCTAGCCTAGGTATGTAGCCTAATAATGGCTACAGTCTATATACAGTTGACGTTAGAATTATTAGCCCATTTGTTTTGTTTTTTTTCCAATTTCTGTTTAACGGAGAGAAGATTTCTTTAACACATTTCTAAACATAATGGCTTTAATAAATCATCTCTAATAACTGATTAATTTAATAATATTTTACAAGACACTTCTATACAGCTTAAAGTGGCATTTAAAGGCTTAACTAGGTTAATTAGGTTAATTGGGTGGGTTTGGGTAATTAAGCAAGTTATTACATTTTTTTAAGTATAACAAAGGTTTGTACTGTAGACTAATAAAAACAAAATATATAGCTTAAAAGGGGCTAATAATTTTGATCTTAAAAATGTGTTTAAAAAAAATTAAAACTGATTTTTTTGTAGTCGAAATAAAACCAATAGGACTGTGAAAATGTCCTTGCTCTGTTAAACATCATTTGGGAAATATTTCAAAGAAAACAATTCAAAGGGGGGCTAATAATTCTGACTTCAACTGTATATAAGCTAAATGTAACCATTTTAAATACAAAGGTTATTGTAAATATAATTCAGAAATATGATAGTATCCCATTTTTGCAGGAAAATTTATTTCAACTCACTTTGTAAAAATGTAAATAAAAAAACAAGGGAAGGAGAGAGAGATTTTTAATGTCATTGCCATTTCAACTTCTATGGCTATGTCATGGCAAAAAATAAATTAAACAGATCAAGGTTACCACATTTTATAAATAATACTTTTCTATTGTTATAAAAATGTCCTAATAATTAAAAGTCATTAACAGCAATAAATAATACACAAGGTAAAAAACATAAATAATAATAATAATAATATATAAGATAAAAATCTAAAACAGTTTTTTAGGGATTCCTTTTGATAAAAATTCTACAATTTTAGAAGGATTTAAAAACAAGGGAAAAATAGTTGTCAGAACAGTAAGAATGTTAAGCAAACCTCTTGTTTTAAAGAAGGCTGGCACAAAGCTTCTTTCAAAAGAGCATATAGTCCAGCCATCACATGGTTCAAGCTCTCTTCTGAGATTAAACCGCTCTCTGAAATCACTCTCACTGACTCACAGCAGTCCTGACCACCAATGGCATCCACCACAGCTGTGCACACAACACAACAGAGTCAAATAGATTAAATCATCCAATTAAATTAAAACAAAGTGCAATACAATAATTTAAAAAGAGGGTACATTAAGGCTCCACAGCAATAGAAAACAACTGTAAGTGCAATATTTAGTTTTTATATATATATATATATATATATATATATATACAGTTGAAGTCAGAATTATTAGCCACCCTTTGATTTTTTTTCTTCTTTTAATTATTTCCCAAATTATTTTTAACAGAGCAAGGACATTTTCACAGTATGTCTGATAATATTTTTTCTTCTGAAATTTTTTTTTTCTTTCTTCAAAATTATTAGCCCCTTTAAGGTATAAGTTTTTGCATAGTCTACAGAACAAAACATCATTGTACAATAACTTGCCTAATTACCTTAACCTGCCTAGTTAACCTAATTAAGCAATTTAAGCCTTTAAATGTCACTTTAAGCTGTATTGAAGTGTCTTGAAAAATATCTAGTAAAATATTATTTACTGTCATCATGGCAAAGATAAAATAAATCAGTTATTATAAATGAGTTAATAAACTATTACGTTTAAAATTTGTGTTGAAATAATTCTGACTTGAACTGTATATTGCAATATGTATACGGTTTCCACGGATTAATTAAACAGCCTTATTTAAAGAAGAATTCATATTTTTGTTGACTGGAAAGATTGGTAGGGGAGCGCATAGCCACATATGGATAAAATAAATAAATAAATTAAAAGCGTAAATAAATAAATATATAAATAAATAAATTTTTAAAAATTAAATAAATTAAATAAAAATAAATAAATAAATAAATAAATAAATAAATAAATAAATAAATAAATAAATAAATAAATAAATAAATAAATAAATAAATAAATAAATAAATAAATAAATAAGCAAGCAAGCAAACAAAGCTTCACAGTTTTCTGGGGAGTTTAACAGCAATCAGGTACCAAAATAATATAAGCAAATCTAACACTTCATTGTGTAGAAATTATTAAATACAATTAATCTGTATTAAAGCTACAGACTCCTTTGCCCAAGAGCTATAAAATCTTTCGTGAAATGTTTAAAGTAGCAGGTCTTGAAACACTTGTTAACACACAATAAACGTTCACTCTAATATGCTCTTGAGACCCTGCCCATTGACTTGTGTCCTCTGTAGTGGACGTTGTGTTTTCATCAATTTACTTAGAATTTTTTTGAGCTACTCTGTCAAGTCTTGTTGTAATGTTCAGAGGACATCCTGGGCTTTCTAGTGATATGTCATTTGATTGGCTGGCATGCTAGGAACCACTTCTTATATTGCATTCAAAATGGCCGGCATTAAAACAAACACATTTTATAGGAAGGAGAGAGGTATGTAAAATTTTGCTTTTTAAATGTTTTTTAATACTATTATTATTACATTTATGTTTGTTTATTAAATTGTCAAGAACAATACATTTAGCTTTCTAAGCTGTTAACTTGTTTGTGTTTCAAAACATCATCCCTTTTTAAATGTAATTAATGACTGCATGTTGTAGAAGGCAGAACTGAAGCAGAGAGGATTATATATAAGATAGTTGAGGGAGACTCTGACTTAGAGTCTCTGACAATAAGAGAATTAGAGACAGTTAGACAATGACAATCAGTTTTTAATCGCTTGTTTTGTTTTATATTAGCATCAATTCTTTTTTTGAGTTCGGCTCTCTTTCAGACTTAACTGTTTCAGGAATTTCTTCACAAAAGGAAAAAAATGGCTTTTGTTTAGCTTTTGTTACATTAATATTGGATTAATATCCCTTTACAGCCATATCCTGTACAGTTTTGTTGTCTGAGTCATTTCGAACTAAAATGGTCCTGCGGTCCACTACAGTGGACACGCTGTAAAATAAAAAATAAAAACAAAAAGTAAATGTAAAAACTCTAAATTGTAGAATTTTTGTTTAACCCAAAGGATCTAGGAATTCACAGAAAAAAGAAAAAAAAAAGATTTAAAAAAATTATTTGGGTCTCAGGAGGATATGGTTAAAAATGTATTATGACTCCTCAAATCACATGTTCTTAACTGTGGTTCCTGGTTAACCATAATACCGACTCAACATTGAACATCATGTGACGTGACTACTGCAGATGCACACAGTGAATATCAATGCTTGAATTATAAATTGTGCAGCCCAAATAAATGTAGAAAGAGCAGAGACAAACAATATATTGCGGAATACACTGGCTATGCAGTTAAACTCATCACATAAAAATGCAATATTGTTTTTATGACTTTATTTTAAGAACTGCACAATAGACTGTGCAGAAAATTGTTAGTGATGTACCTATAGTAACGTAAATAAAATTTAGAGTCAATATATCGATTTGGGAAACCTTGACACATGCATTTATTCGTGAATACAGATGCTTCTGTTTCCAATCTGATCTTTTAGCCAGAATAAATACATTCTTCATGTCTTGTAATTCGTTACTAACGAAGCACAGCTTTTTCACTACACGACTTTAGGGGTTTCTATGTGGTGGGTTTAAGATTACAGATCAGTCTGTCATGTCTTTCAAATCACTACTAACGTTAAGAAATGAAACTCACCTCTGAGTATCTGCGTGAAAGTCTCTCTGTTCACATTTTTCAAATGTTTATATAGCATGTCCACCTCAGCAGGCACTCTGCCTCCAAATAAACTGACAGTATCACTCATCTTTACACTAGCACCAGACATCTTTATTTACTGTCTTCCGGCTTCTGCTTGTTCTATGGTGTATAACCGCAGTTGTCATCCAAAATGGTTCATTACCGCCATCTGCTGTCCTATTAGCACCACTTCTTCCTTTCCAGATAGCTGAGATTACTATTAGAATAATCTATCAATAAAAAAAAATCACCTTTAAATGTAATAAGAACAGAGCTGTGAAAAAGTTTGACAAAGTTTCATAATTACTTGAAAGATAATTTTGACCAGCACAATTTAGCCTATTTTGGCTATAGCAACATTGGGTCAGACACAGTTTTAACTGCAGATACAAATGCCCTATTCTTCACTTGTTAGCACATATATAATACACTTAATGATTGTATTTTCATACTTTGTTAATAATTATTTTTTTCATAACTAAATTAAGGATTGCATCATTTACAAAACAGTTATGTTAGAGAAGTTTTTAAAGATTTTTCAGAATGTTTAAGTAAATGATTAATAAACTAATTAAATTACCATTTTATACATATATGAATAGTTAATTTGTATGTTAATAAATGCTTTATTAAGTCAACTTCATCCAGTTTTGTGACCTAATCTAAAGTGAGGACAATTTATGCATTATAAATCCTTAATAAGTGGCAATTAAAGGCTCAATCATATTCTAAACAGGAAAAAATGACTTTATTAATTATATTTATTTGAAGATACACAAATTAAACTGTATCAAATTAAAAATAAATCTTTGCTATCTTAACTAAAATAAAATTATTGTACCGTTTAAACATCACTAAATTACTTTAAAATGTTGTATCTTAATATTTTGTTCAATTATTATATTGCTGGGTTTTTTTATTCTATGTTATATTTTGACACTCCTGTTTTTACAATGTTTAAAATTTACAGTAATTTTACTTTTTAGATTGCAAAGACTTGTTTATTTGATATTGGATTTATAAAGCATAATTAGTTCTTTAGATTAGGTCACAAAAGTGGATGAAGTTGAGTTAATAAAATATTTTTTAACATACAAAGTAACTGTTAATATGCCTAATCAATAGGATATATAAATGTTGATTTTAATAGTTTATTAATTATTTACCAACTCATTATCTTAAAAAAAATGCAAACACTCTTAAATACAAATGATCTGTAAAACATTAATCAGTAACAATGAAAGAACAATTATTAGGCACATTTCAACATTTCAGTGGTATTCAGCGATGTTGAAACAGAACTTTTTAGAGATTACACAGACTAATTTAATATATATGCTTGAAAAATAAGACGTAAATGTATGCAAAATGGAATATAAACATACAAAAGTTAGTCAAATTGAGAGTCAAAGTGGCTATTATCTATATATTTGAAAGATACTGTAGCGTTACAGGTACCTAAATCCTTTAAAAATATATTATTACTGTTATAATCTACGTGCTTCATGGAAATCGCACACTGGACCTTTACAATAATTGAATATGCACGGTAACGTTGCTGTGGTTACCATAATCTGTGGCATTCTAAAAACGTATGTGTGTCCGATGACGAAGAGAAACTTCATTAAGTGTCTGACCATCGCTGGACATTGGCGGTATGTAAAAGATTTTTCTAAAAGTTTTAGGTTATTATATATGGATGTTTTGGCATGCTTTTGCTGAAGGAGGTCAAAAATTTTTTTTTTTTATTGGTCATATTGTTTTAGATTATCATTATTTTAAAAGTTCATTCATTCATTTTCTTGTCAGCTTAGTCCCTTTATTAATCCGGGGTCGCCACAGCGGAATGAACCGCCAACTTATCCAGCATGTTTTTACGCAGCGGATGCCCTTCCAGTCATCCACACACACACATTCACACACACTCATACACTACGGACAATTTAGCCTACCCAATTCACCTGTACTGCATGTCTTTGGACTGTGGGGGAAACCGGAGCACCCGAAGGAAACCAACGCAAAGGCAGGGAGAACATGCAAACTCCACACAGAAATGCCAACTGAGCCGAGGTTCGAACCAGCGACCCAGCAACCTTTATTGCTGTGAGGCGACAAGACTACCTACTTCGCCACTGCCTCGCCCTATTTTATAAGTTTTTCCACGTAATTTTTCGGTAAGACCAACGCAATCGAATGGCAATTCGTATCTTTTTGTTTTAGTGGCTAATTTGTATGAATTCTTACAAGCTAATTCGTACAATTTAGTATGATTTGCTAATCACCCAACGACGGTTGGGGTTAGGGGTGGGGTTGGGTGACTGAACTGCGTACGACTGAACTCGTACGAATTTGTATGAACTAGCCACTAAACTGACAAAACGTAAAAAACGTAAAATACGTTTCCTCGTGAGATCAGGCTGGATAGACGGTAGCTTATAATGTTGCTGAAAGTTGGTTGGAATTGAAGATTGCTATATTATCAATTTTAGGATTTTGAATTTGTATTCCGTACTAGTTTGTGTATTGTTACTTTTAGCTTGAAAAAAAAAATAACTGCAGTTAACTGAAGTAAAACTCCAGTACTGCAGTACAACAGCATATGTTAACTGCAGTAAAATTAAGTACAGTTGCAAAATTGCAATACAATGAAGTATAAACACAGTTCAAATACAGCACAATAAAGTTCAACAGCATGTTGCAGTAAACTGAAGTAAAAATGAGTAAACTCTGTCTTTACTGCTGTTGTCTAATTTGTCAATGGTGTGGTAAGAACTGTACTGCACTTGTGTCCCAAGGGGTTTGTTCTTCAACATTTTTTGCTCCAAGAATATTTTGTATTTTTTTTCAGGGATGTTTTTTGGATTCAAGTAATTTTCTATTTTGAATTTAAAGAGTTTATTTGCAAATAAATAATAAAAAATAATTGTAGTGAACTGAACAGTACAACAGTAGCCTATATTATACAATTGTGTCAAAATTCAATACAACTGCAAAATTGCAGTATAATGAGGTATAAACACAGATCAACTAATGCAATAAAGTTCAACAGTGGTAAAACTTACAGTACAACAGAAGTAACATTGAATTCTCTGACTGAGAGGGGCAATATCAGCCTGATCTTACGAGAAAACGTAAGTATTTTACGTTTTGTCAGTTTAGTGGCTAATTCGTATGAATTCGTATGAGTTCAGTCGTACGAAATGGTACGATTTTAAAAAGGAGGCGTGGCACCTGACCCCACCCCTAACCCCAACCGTCAGGGGCGGACTGGCCACCTGGCAATTCTGGCAAATGCCAGAAGGGCCGGACCATTTTTTAAATGTGGGCCGGTATGCTATTTTTTAAATAACGTTTTTTTTTTTTTTTTAATACATATATGTATTGTTTTTACATGCAGGCAGCTTTTATTTTTTGTAAGATGTGAATATTATGATGATGATGATGATGATGATGATGATGATGATGATAGTAATAATAATAGTAAATGTTAAGCATTGGCCCAATCGGCAAATGGTTCAAACCTCTGCTGGGTCAGTTGGTGTTTCTGTGTGGAGTTTGCATGTTCGCATAGGTTTCCTTCCGGTTTCCCTCACAAGTCCAAACACATGTGCTATAGGTGAATTGGGTAGGCCTAATTGTCCGTAGTGCATGTATGTGTATGTGTGTGTATAGGGGTTTCCCAATGATGGGTTAAAACTTGGAGGACATCCGCTGCATAAAATATGTTACTGCTTACATTATTTCACCATCTGTACACCAATATAAGTAGTGAATTCTTAGTGAGTAGTGAACTCATTTGGAAACTTTGTCCACCGACCAGGAAAAGTTAGTAGTTGTTCGGCAGCTGTGTTGTAGAAGTACTTCAGTTGTATTGCAATAGCGGTATGGCAGTTGTACTGCAGTAGTACTTCAGTTGTATTGCAGTAGCAGTACTGCATTTTAGTAGTTGTAGTACTTTAGTACCATTGCATTAAATGTACTGCAATATAGTAGTTGTAGTGCATCAATACAATTGCAGTAATTGTACTGCATTATAGTAGTATTATCAATTCCGTACTATTGCAATAGTTACTGCAGTTGTACTATAGTAGTACTTCAGGTGTATAGCAGTAGATGTATTGTAATAATAATTCAATTGAATTGCAGTAGTTGTACTTTAGTAGTACTTCAGTTGTATTGCAGAAGATGTATTGTAATAGTAATTCAATTGATAGTAGTATTAATAGTAATACTGCAATATACTTAAACAATGCAGTTTTTTCATGTCCAAAAGTTAACTAAAGCTGCAGTATTCCTTTAAAAACTGCAGTATTCTTTAAAAAAAACTGCAGTTTTGTTTAAAAAAAAAACTGAAGTAATTTTCTTTAAGGGATCTTTAGTAGTCTATTCATTCAGTAGAATGCCATTTGTTGTAACCCAGGCTCCTTCTAAAAACATAGTCCCGTGGACATTTCTGCAGACCACAAAATACGTCCCGGGAGGTACTAATTTTTGCAGTTTTTGTTTTCGCTATTCCGCGAGAGGCCGCTGTGTCCGCTTTTTTGCATCTCAAATGTCTCTCGAGAGATATGTATATATATATATATATATATATATATATATATATATACCAACAGGTGTCACTGTTGTCAAACTTTATATATTAATAACAGATTCCACTTTCCTCCAACTTCTCAGGTGTCTTTTTAAAAAGTACAAAGTATTTTTTTAGTATTTAAAATACACCAATAAAAACCTGTTAATAAGATAATAAAGATTTGATTGGAAACTGCTATTCGGCATCTTAATCTATGCTTAATCTTGTATACTTTAAGGATGAATTGACACGTGTACTGATGAACAAATAAACAAAGTGGTACTTTAAAAACAACATTTTCTGAAAAACATACATTTAACTTAGCATGACTTAAGGAAAATGAACACTACCCACTCAAAGCTGAAAATGTGGCCACATATCTGATTTAACTTTAGTCCATATACCTTTCTAATAATCAGTAACATTATTATCTTTAGCATGAATCTTGCCAGGTTTAGACATGTTACATCAGACTGGAAGGACTGTCATTTTTGTTGTTGTTAATTTTCTGTTGGACAAGAAC